AAAGATATTTAAATTTACAAAAACATGTAAAAATATCTGATCAGTCACATTCCTGTCACCTATTTTGCGGAGATAAAACAAGAGGTTAACGAGATTGAGACAATGTAAGAAATTTTGTATATAGACGAAAAATATTCGTCAGGGAGATCTACCGAATCGTTTCACGAGCTTCAAACCCTCTACATTAGATGTCGCCACTTACCATAAAATATGAAAATTCAAATATAGAATTTCTAGTGAATTCAAATCTTAATTGCATACTAGGTATTCTCCCGTTTTCCCTATGTCCAATATGGTATGTATCTAAATATAATCATTCTTTTTGAAATTGGTGGTGGTAGTACTGGTATTCTCGGACTTGAAACCAAACAGTTATTGGACTACAGTAGCAATGAACTATGAGACTCTGATTGTCGGAAGACAGTGTGTGTCGCCTGTGTTTGGAAAATGAAACAGCAAAGCACATTCTTTGTTTCTGTTCCGCTGCATACCGAATCAGGTTTTCAAAGTTTGGCAGAGCCGCACTCTTACCATCCGACCTGAAGGATCACTCACCATTTATGAACTTATATAAAGTATTCGGCTTCGTTAAGAAGAAACTGGGTTTATTTGGTCGAGTGTAAATAGATGTGAGCCACAATAAACGGTGGAGGGTTAGGTGACCTAACCTAACATAACTGGAGAAATATTTGGGCAGAAATATCAATGCAGCATTTCTATATTTTTAATTACCTATTTGAATTATGTAGAACAATTAAAAAGAAAATGATAAAATTTTAAAAATATTGAAAATGTCGGTGTTCTATCATCTAAAAAAGTTGTTGATTGATTTGAAATCTATAGGAGAACAAATAAAATGAGAATGATAGAATTCAAGGATTATTGAAAATACTACAAAATTACCGCACCGAAATATCCGGGCAAGTTAGTTGAAACAGAATAAAAAATGGAGAAGATATAGGTATAGAGATTCAATAAAATGTAAAATTGCCAACTTGTAAAAACAAATTATTGTAACCTGAAATTAAAGTGAATCAATAAATAACTTAAAAATAAATGAAATGTAAAATATATACAAATAATCAAAAATGAAATAAAAATGAATTTCAAGATAATAGATGTCCGAACTTATTTCTCCATGAAACTGTGTCAACCACTTTTAAAAAAACCTCTACTTTCAGTTTTCAAGTTGACACTTCATTTCAGACAAGTTTCAATCAGAAATATTATGAGTCCATACGCCCTGAGGCCATGATCCACCCAAATGCATAAGGTTGAGTCTGTGTGAACCTCTAGATCTAGTGGTTGGGACAATACTGTTACAACATGGCGCATCTAGCAGTGCCTTTGAATATTGGATGCGCGGTAGATCAGCCAGCGGATTGGGGCGACAGCGCATCAACATCTAGGAACTCGTGTAGGGAACATCATGTTACTACAAGTGGAGAAATTATTCTGTGAGGTGAACTTTGAGTTATTTGTTGTCTTTGAAAATGTCTTCGAACAGTAAACTGAAAAACAAGGTCTTCAGTTGACAAAGCATTATGAACAGCGTATTAAGATTTATACAAGCGGAAGCAACGGCAGGTGGAGTAAGAATTCATATTACAAAAATAAGAAGTAATATTAATAATTGTAACCAATATTGTATTTAAACTCTGAAGGTTCAAGAACAAGTAGCCGAAGACACAGGGGAAATGCTAATTTTACGCAGATCAGGGTAGCAGGGAGTCTTTGTGAAAAAAAATTCACAACGTCGAATTTCGATGGAGAAAGGTGAAAAATAGAAAAATATTAATAAAACGCCAGCCTATTCAACTACTTAGGATAGAATTTTTGAACAAAATGTGGATCTATAGAGAAAAATGTCGACCTATTTTATTTACATGGATGAAATATTATACTCACGCTAACGCTACACAAATGCACCAAAAAGGTTGGCAGGTTTTTTGCCAATCCCATTTTTCAGGAGATATTAGAGCATCATTCTACATTATTTGCAAATAATATCTTTTAATATGTTATTTTGAACTGAGTTGTATAGTGTTTTGAGAGATATAGAAAATGTCAAATTTTGAACGATAAAACCAGCAAGTAAGAACTTGATTGGGAATAAAGTTAACTATTGAAAATACGCCTTTTTTAGGCAAATATAATGCGTCTTTGCTTGCAAATGGTCTAAAAATATTTCACTTTCACTTTGACCATGAAAGTTTCAGTTGCTGAAATCATTTACCTTTTATTATAAAAAACTCGTGTAGTAGCTCATCCAGTGAATGCATGAATGAAAAAGATATCATTTGTTGCAACATCAAGAAATTCAATTGACGGTTTTCGTCGAAAAAACTCGTCTAGGGGAATTGTTGTAGACTGGTTAAAAAATATTTCATCATTAGGCAATTAAACCGATAATACTAGGTACTAATACACCAATATCCTCTGCTACTAGAACTGTTACTATCTAGAGGTGATTGTACAAGTTGATGATCCACAACACTTTCTATTCAACTTCAATCAATATTATTTTTGGAGTTTCTCGAAGAGGTAACTGAAACTTTTTACTTTTGCAGTTTCCTAAAAAAATTCAATAGTATTCTTCAAATAAATAATTCATTGGAATATACTTTTTATATCTATTCCTCTCAGATGCATTAGTTTCATTATTATTATTCATATCCATTGATGTAATAGTTACTATGGAAATATCTAATTAACTGTCGTCATATTAATTGATATACAGTGTCACCATTAAAGTGCGCACCATATGGGAAACTTTTTTTCGAAAAGTTTCAATGAAGTTTAACTTCGGCACTTGTTTGTGCTTTAAATTTAACTTAAAATGATGCGACCAACTGCGCATAAAATTGAAAAAGTGCATTTCTAGATCGAATTTAACAAAAAGAGCATATTATCTAAAACTTCACTAACCTCATTATTTAAAAGGTTGAGATAACCGACGGATGATGAATTTTCCCTAAAGAAAAATGGCGCTATTATTTGGTATCCCACACCATACATTAGTTTTAAAGGAATACTGATCACATTCAATTGTGAAATTGGGATTTTCTTGGGCCCACCATCGGCAATTTTGAGAACTTACCGTTCCATTTGAAGAGAACGTTGCCTCATTATATGGAAACTTTACATTTTCTTCTCCCTCTCCTTGAAACCAGAATGAAAACCCCAAACGGGTATCAAAATCTCGTTCTTTTAATGTGTTAATAAATTTTGGCTTGTAAGGCCAAAATTTATTCTTTAATAACACTTTCTTATAAACGGTATTTTTTATAATATCGGTTATGCTCGTTTGCCCGTGTTCAATAACTTTTAAACAAATGTTAAGTTGGGCCTCCTCATCATATTCACTTGGAGTGTGCTTTTTCTTAAATTTATTTGCTACGGATCCTGTTTCTCTGAATTTCGACATTATCCTTGACACAGTAGTATGTTGAACATTTTTTCCTGGATGACGTTCGTTAAAAATGTTAGCTACTTGCCGGTATGGTGTATTCTCACCACATATTAAAACAATTTCTATTGATCCCTGAAGAGACAACATTATTGCAACAATAACTGTTAAAAATTTGACAAGTAAATCAACAACTTGACACTACCATAGCATGCATTTTGTTTGTCAAGACCTACTTAAAAATTTTATTCAACGTGATTAAGCATCCTTACCGCCCTAGTTAGTGTTTATGAATAATCTGTAAATACTGAATATTGAAATTTTAATGTAATTTCAACTCTAGTAATTTTATTAATACTTATTGCAGTTTTTGAGTTGTGTCTGCTTTTTCAAAATTGAAGGTACTGACGTTTGTTTAACAAAATAGCCAAGTGATTGAAACTTTGCACCAGTCATGTTAAAATTTTTATAGCACATTTTTAATTTATCTCTAAAAATGTCCGTATAAGTAAAAATGTATCAGAAAAGTTAAACTCCATGATGAGTTTGTTATGTATACATGAATTGATGACAATTAATCGAACTTGTTTTTTAAAATAAAGGGGATACCTGTCAAAAATAAGCAATACGTTAACTTTATCCTAGTTGCGTAAAATTTGGCATATGGATATAAAATTGCCGTAGACACAACTTTTTCAAGTAACTTTTTGTTAAATTCGATCTAGAAATGCACTTTTTCAATTTTTTTCAAAAAAAAAGTTGAATTTGACAAACACCGAACGTCAGTGGGTCGCAGTTGGCCGCATCATTTTAAGTTAAATTTAAAGCACAAACAAGTGCCGAAGTTAAACTTCATTGAAACTTTTCGAAAAAAAAGTTTCCCACATTGTGCGCACTTTAATGGTGATACTGTATATCAATTAATATGACGACAGTTAATTAGATATTTCCATAGTAACTATTACATCAATGGATACGAATAATAATAATGAAACCAATGCATCTGAGAGGAATAGATATAAAAAGTATATTCCAATGAATTATTTATTTGAAGAATACTATTGAATTTTTTTAGGAAACTGCAAAAGTAAAAAGTTTCAGTTACCTGTACGAGAATTTCAAAAAATCCAGTAAAACTGAATTACTTATATGATTAACATACATATTGTTCAAACAATATTGAGGAGTCTGTCCCCACTTCTGATTTCAAATCAAATCGTTGATTTGACTATAAAGTATAGGTATGGCCAGTGGCCCATTTAAGCTAGTGTTAAGCTGGCAAATGACACTCCAAGCATTTGCTCAGTCTGACCCTGTAGCATACTACTTTTGAAGTCGGGGAGCTTGTCTTTGATCTTAGGTCCAGGACCTGTTGTGGAATGAGAAAGTCATAGTAGATAATTTCCATCATCATACGTAATTCCATATTTGTCACAAAAAATTTAGGAAAATAGTCTTTCAACATTCCAATAACATTTGATAGATTGTTCTAAGTGCATAATGCTATTTACCAACAAAATAATATCTCACAAGAGAATGATAAATTTATTGATTAAAGTGTATCTGTACATGTATTAAAACACTTTATGACAATTATCCTATATTTAGCATACAGTCACAAAGTATACAATATAAATTCCTGGAAAATCAAATTTTATTATCTTTATAAAATAAAATAAATATTAAAAAAATATATAGCTAAATTGGGCTATTTGAATACAGTGCGAGAGCAAACTGAAAACAATTCTGTACAGATCAACAAATTATACAAAATATTGAAAATAGATGAAAGCACTTGAAGAATGATAAGTTGAAAATATTTTTCAGATCGTGGAGTACAATTTCTTCAATAAAAAAAGCAGATAAATATGACTTAAATAATTAACACAAAAAGCACAAATAAAAATAAAAGAAAAAATGTGAGTTCACTGAACTAAGAAAATCAATATAATCTGTTTGTCTATGTGAAAAAGGTTAAGGGCTAAAATCCACTGAATATAACTGATCTTTCTTTTGCAGATGATCACTTGGTGATCGAAACACATGTCAAGGTGTTTAAAATAACGGTTTGGTGTTGGGAAAAACTCCAGTAATATTCATTACTACACCAAAGATTTCAAACAGTGCATCACAAGTCTAAAATCCACTGACAAATAATACTGGATTCATCAAAAATCACTTGCAGATCAAGCTCTTTTACAACTCTATCTGTTTGGTGAACCGATTATACAAAGAGTAAAACTTTATACTCATCACATGAACATTTTTGCAATTCTTCATTACTTTCAAATCAATAAAAGAAGAAACTCATAGATTTTTCTGGTAGTGTTCCAAGTATTTTTTTCCTATGAGTCATGTAAAACCTTTTTCAGATTTAATTTTTTTTTTCGAAATGGACATAAATTCAACTGATAAAAACTGTCTTCTGATGAGGAAGTAGTAGTCAGTTTGTCTCATAAACCGGCATTGATCTACATCAATATTTACTTGAAAACAAAATACATAAATTCACAACAGTCACTCTCCAGCCAAATTCATTGGCTTCTCCTCCGCTTCACCTTCTACGGATTCGGTGGACTCTCCCATTCCAACACTCAAATCCGTGGGTCCGTCTGACGCAGACTCAGAGGCAGAATTTTTTATTAGGCTTAAATCTAACATGCTCGCCGAATAGTCCATCATCTTTGGAATTTTTGGCATCTTCTCTCCAGAGTCCCCTGGTTGTTTACCCGAATTTAAACCAAAGTCGCCTATGGACTTATTAATACTCAAGTCAGGCATGTAATAGTCTTGTTTGCCGGCACTAGATTTGCTCAAAGAGGAAATGTACTCGGTCATAGAAAAATCTTTTGGAATTTTAGACAAATTCATATCAGGGGACGAATATTCCATTTTAGACTTTAGACCAAGCAGTTCCATAGAATAGTCGGGAGGTTTTATACCCTTTATGTCGCCAGGAAGCTTCATGGAAGATGAAGTTACTGGAACAGAACTGGTGATGATGGCAGGGGAGTTAGGATGCAGCTTGTGTTCATATTTCCCTTTACTGGGGATAGGACTACTAGACGAGAGGGGTTTAAGCAACTCCTGCATCTTAAAGAAGTTTGTTTGCAGAAACATATTGTTTGCCGCTAATGTACTATGTGCCATAGGATCTGGAAGCCCCAGAAGACTACTGGCACTAGGGAACTTGCCCGAATTGAAGAGTATACTAGATATATCTCCCGAAAGCATCAAATTAGAGTTGAGGCTGACAGGCGTATTGAGGTTGGGTAAATGCTGGTTAGATTTGCTGACATTCGGAATAGACAACAGACTTTCCTTCTCTTCCGAAGACACTCCCAAATTCTCTCTGATGAACTGCCATAAGGCTGTCTCGCTTTCATCTCTAGGAAACTTCGATATCAATGTGGTTTTCAGTTTGTCAATGTAGCAAGTGTTACTCAGATAGCGCTCTCCAAAGTTAATAAAGTCATTTTCCTTTTTATAGTAGTCGATGCACTTTTTCAATTCATCCTTGACGTGAAACGTGAGGACAGTGTCTTGGACGACACTGTAGGACATAAGCATTGGACGGCCATATTCGTTTGGTTTAGTCTCTGGAGGTGGAATAACCCAGTAGGCAATGATGCTCGATTCAAGAGATGAATTTTCATAATTGTAAGGCGCTGCAACATAAAACTGGTATTTGGTATTTTGAAGTCTACAATGTGTTAGTAAGTTATTTAGTTAATATATTATTTATTTCATATGTAGCAGATTGATGGAAAAAATAAATAAAATACTTCAAAGTTTTCAAAAACTCGCACACCAAGACAGACAGGAAAAACTAAATCTTACATTTAAAATTGTGTGAATTCGTGACAACAATTGAACAAATCATCTGAAAAATGTCTTCAAAGGGAATGGGTACAGCGAAGCCGAATTTGAGTAGGCAATATGACCCAGGAAATAATGTAACTCCAAATGGGAGAATTCTGAGGTATTCACTCTCCAACGAAAGCCATTAGAGATAGTATAAGGTCAGATAAGCATCCCAGAGAATCCCTTGTAGCGGTAAATCGGTCTACATAGTGACAAATCAACAGTAGCACTCAAAGAAGGAATCGCTTTTGAAGATACCCAAGTGCTTGATAGAACTCAGAGTTACTACTCACGACTATGAAGAGGTGATAGGAACTTTAAAACAAAAACAATTTCTACCAAAAAGAAGAGGAAAACAACATTGATACATTAAATTATACTGGTAAAAAGATACTCATTTGATTCAACCAATAGAAACCAAGCCACGCCCACCACCAATGGAATGAAGCTGGAGGCTCAAACCTTAAATATAACTTTTACTATGAGGACAACCCGAGCACGTCTTTCAGTACATCATCACCTTTATTGATGTATTAATGTTCAACGCACATACATTTTATAGAAAGCCACTATGAAAAAAAAAGTGTCTGTGAGATTATTAAAAAAAGATATACTTGAGGCACGATGGCTTTGAAGGCATGAAATTTTAAATTTATTAAAAAGTCTTCATTGATAATAAAGTAAAATATTTGAATTTCAACATCAACTTAGCTAGTGCAAAAGAAAATTCTCACAAACTAGTCAACACGTTTCTGTCTTATAATCTACATCAGCAAATCTAAGATTATACTAGGATAACAAATATTTCTGCTACCAGTGTTAGGAATCACACGTTAAAAGGTAAGATCTCGTTAATCCTCATATCGCACAAGTTTCGACTTCTGAGGGTTGTCGTTTGTAGGGGTGCGACAGCTGGTTAACGGAAAAACAGATTTTTTTAAACAGAAGGTAACAAATATTCCTCCTACCAGAATAGGTAACATTTTTATAAACATTGATGAGGCACAGAACCCACAGTCTTGTTTATCAAATCATAAATGACAAGTTTTTGATACAAAAAAATTTGCTCTTCTGTTGGAAATGATGTCCAAGAGTAATAAATGCGATAAAGAAATTTGATAATCAAAACTAAAATACAGTGAATCGTAATTATAAACGAACTGAGTGTTTTTTCTTATAATGTTAACCGTATTTGGTACTGAAGAGCCGATAAGGCAAGTGTCTTACGGTGAAACATCGCATGCCTACCAGTGAGGATGACAGCGTTACATGTAAGTGAAATTTTACTTCTTTCATTCATTATATTGTGTAGAAATCATCTGATTTGACTCCATTACGAATGTTTGGAATGTTCATTTTACAAAAACGATTTATAAGACTCATTTTTGGCATGGACTATAACGAATAGAATTTGCTCTTCTGTTGGAAATGATGTCCAAAAGTAATAAATGCAATGAGGAAATTTGATAATCAAAAATTAAATACAGTGAATCCACAATAGAATCGAAAAACCAGTTGATAATTATGAATGAAATGGCCCTCCTTTGGGAAAAACATTTGGAGAAGTGATGAAATGTTTCAGACTAGCAAGCCCAAAATGAACGCACAAAATGGCATGATCACTCATAATACCTCAACATGTCTCTAGCTCCTCAATGAGTACTTTTGTAAATTTGGCGAGGAGATTGTCGAAAACTTTAATTATATTGATGATACATATATCAAATCAATATATAATACTGGTGTAGCCCTTTTTTTACTCACCTCCAGTTAAAGAACTAGAGATAAGTACCATGACGACAGAGTAAACACATAAAAGTCAAGATATACAGGCCGTTATCTTTTGCTAATCCCATTACTGCTATCTCGGAAACTGTAAGACCAATGGACAAAAGTTTCCTATTTCTGAGAACTAGAATAATCTCTTTCCAGATCGAGAATATCAGTAGTTGTTTCCGAAATATTCGCGAAAAACTAGAAATGCCGGATTTCGTTTTTTTGGCTCTACTGCTGCCATTTCGAATGATATAAAAAAAAAGGAAGCGGAACTTTCAATACTGTTTCATATTTGCTATAATCTGATATAAACCAATTTGCAATGCAACATTTTGTTATATAACAAAACTCATTTGAAAAGTGACAAAAAAATATTTTCTGTCATCCTGTGCATTTCAAATTTTGAGCAACTCATATTTATTTACTTACACACAATAACTCCAATACAGGGTGTGTAACTATTATCTGATGTTCCCTTCATCTTTATCTGATAATCTAACTGAGCATCTACATCCCTCAAAGTCGGAGCCGCTGCAGCAAAAGGATGTGAGTGATACCAACCGACTAGCAGAAGTTTTTCTTTTTCTATTGCCTTCGATATGGTAGCCTCAACTTGAGAAGCATTTTCTCTGTCAGCTTTGGTACTGCGACAAGGAAAGGCATGTGTAATTTGTAAATCTGAAATAAAAGTAGAAGACTTAACCCTTTCAATCAAAAGTTAAACCCTTTTTGGTTTGAGATTCAATTCATCAATGAGATAAAAGGATCTGTTCACTTGCATCTATATGAAATTATGATTGCTGACTTACTATGTGAGTTTACATCCCAGTATCCTGCCAGATATCCAGAAACTTCCGATTTTGTTAAATGGCAATGAAAATCCATTAAAAGGGCTGCATTCGTAGATAGGGATACCAGAAATGGTTGAATTTTGCCCATATTCGAGAATGGTATACAGTCAATCATGGTATTGGCATCGCTGAAAATATAAAATATGTGATTATATGGTTGAACACACTACGAATCTGGGAAACCTTGACAATAAAAAATATTTCATTAAAATATATGATATATAAAATATAAACTCGTAAACTCGTATATTTTCGTTACTATAATATTTAAATGCCATTAATACAACATAAAATATCTAAACCTGTTAATTTTAATGCTGTTGGCAGGGTTTTCAAGTTTTTGTTGCAGGATTGGACTTTCCTAAGAGTTAATAGATTTTTTAACAACTCGGAGATGAATAAATATAAAAAGGATAAATGAGAAAAAATACCTAAATGAAGGAATAAAATCAGAGAATTTTTGACAGAAAAAACAAAATTACTAAATATTCAAATGCAGCAATTATTTTCTCAAATTCAAATTTGAGTATTTCTTCAATGTACCAGGTAATCAACTGTATGTTATTATTAATGAATGATAAATTGACCATTGTCTTATTGTGGAGAAAGTATTTGAATAGTCATTTAAATTATTATATTTATCATTTAATAATATGGAAGGTGAGACTCCTTACTTTATATAAAGCAACTGAATATGCAGAGTATTGCAAGAGTTTTTGTGTATATAATGAAAATATAACTAAAAGTTAAATGGATTTGTATCAATTTTGTATATTTGAAGGTGGTTGACAATGTTTCATGGCCCATTTCATTAGTTCGGACTTTCATTGTCTAATATGATATGAAATGATTTGAACTCCCTGGAATAATCAATTAAATTAATAATATTAGCTGAAAAATAGCAATTATATTAAGCGAAAAAAACTGAAATTACAATGACATAAAATACAAGCAACATTTGAAAATTAAACAATTAACAAAAAATGAAAATTAAAAATTGAAAGGTTTCAAACCAAGTTACTTCATGACGTTTCGATTGTTGGTATTCATAATCGTCTTTGGGTGATGACGAAGACAATATCATATTAGACGATGGAAGTCCGAACTTATTAATTTTTTTGTATGTTTCATTGTCATGTTTCATGAGAAGGTTTTCTATATGAACTGGTAGAAAAATATGTGTCAAAAAATATTTAGAAGTATTAGTAAATAGGTTAAACCATAATGATATTGAAAATAAATATGAAAAGAAAATAAAGTAAATAAATAAATTATTATCAGTGTTTATAAGGGAGATAAATTTTGTACATACTGTGTTAGTGTTCTATTTGCTATGGTATTATGTTTCACTACAATCCTTTGGTACATCAAAGAGTTCAACATGTTTTTCTGTAGTATTTGTTCCAGATTCACTACCGATGAAGAAAGCAGCTGTTCATCTGAAAATCACAAATTTATTTTAATGTAACCTCTAAAAAGACATGATTAGCAGGACAAATTCAGCATTCAGCATACCTACATTACAACGATTAATGTCACTTACTTTCTTTTTCTTGTTTCTCGTCTTCCTCTTTCTTTTTCTTGTACCAAACGTTTTTGTAGGCGTCTAATTTTTTGCCTCTATACTTCACAGAAGCCCAGCCACAACCTGACTTTTTATCAGGATTGATAAATCTTTTACATGCAATTGCCCAGGCGCTTGGAGAGGCGAAAATAATATCTGTTTCCTGACTTCGAATTTTACCGTCTTGAAGAAGGTCTCCTATGAATTTTTGTCCCTGCAAGTATAATAGTATCATTACTTTAAAACTAACTAACAAAATATAACTCAAAATTACTCTGAGATAGTTAGATACTCAAAAGTTTCAAAAATAACCAGAAATTTAGAAATTAATAAGCGCCATTGCAAAACTGAAAATACTTTGTATTATGAAGTGAAATTGTACTAAATAAAAAAACAGGAAAGTATTCAGTTTGTTTAGAGACTTTTTTCAATACCTACTGTACTTCTTTTTGGAATACTTATAGGTACTTATTATATAGTAATAATGTAATAATTATAAAATTTCTAAATGTGCTTTCTTACCAAATATTCAATGGTCATAGCCCCAGGTCCGGGTTCTAGAATGCCTGCAGATAGTAAATTTTGCAAGGTAATAGTCCTATTATTAGTTTCTCTTCCAATAACTTGCTTGTTTTGGATTTTGCCATGATCTTCAATATCCTAAAAATGTGTTAGATGTTACCTCATTGAAATGTTGCAATATGCTAATAATTATATCAATAAGGTCCAACAATGCAATTTATAAGTTATTTTGCTAAAAAATTAATTGCTTTTGGAAAGATATGGAGAATTATATGAAATTTGAACCAAGTATAGAAAACGAAAAATTTCGAAAAAAAATTGATATTTATTGATTATAGTATGTTTTCGAATTTAAAAGAAATGTGAAGAAGATATTTTGTTAGTATTTCATCAAAGTCAACATTGAATGTTTCTGAAATTTTTGAAAATTATAGCTTGATGGAGAATTGTATTAGAAAAATAATCCAAGGTCATTTTGTGGGCTTGATGTATGTCTGATCTTATACAATTTCCCAAGAGATTACGTGAAACACAAACATTTTAAATATTTCAAACGATCAAAGTTGCAACTAGAAAAAAGAGTATTCTTAATCATTGATTTGATTTCTAGTCCTCTTAAAATTTATTCACAAATATGAATACTTTTGACTCATTTTTCACAAGCTTATTTACATAAGTTGTTGATATTTATATCAAGAAAGAAATTGAAAAGTTCATATTCATATTATCGAATGACTGATAATGAACTAGGTTGAATGAATCCATATGATCCATATATACTCTGCAGTCTAATATGAACATGTAATTATCCTGCTACTGTATTTTCTTTGGAATAATAATTTAATCGAATTCTAATTATCCGAACTCCAGCTACCTGGATGACTTTCAGAAAAAAAATATTAAATTTTTCAGACAAAACTATACCAGAAAGAAAAACTATCTCTCGATACGCGTTTCGCTAAACAAGTTAGCATCATCAGAAGATGACCAAGACTAAGCGCGTCGAGAGACAGTATTTTTGTTCTGGTGTGAAAAATTGTTGTATCTCAATATATTCTTACGAAAATGTTTGAACAGTAATGTTTAATTTGTATACATGCACACATGCGCACAAGCACACTTGAACTTTTTAATTGCAATCAAAGTATAACAAAATGATCAGTTTCTTCTCAGTAGGTGCAACTTGCAACTTTTTGGCTAGTGTCTGTTGCAACATATCCACATCAGTATATTACTGCTCAAAAAACTCGTTCTTTGAATAGCCCCACAAAAATAAGTAAAGAGGAGTAAGGTTAGGACACCTGGGAGGCCATTGAACAGGGTCATACGAATTTTGCCCATCTACAAGGACCCGTTCATCCAGGAAATTATCAAGAATCTGAGTCATAAATTTCACATATCTTGCAGCATTTAGGAAACCATTATAAAAAAACGACCAACAATTCGTGATCTCATTATTCTGCACCAAACGTTAATATTGAAACTAATCTGGGAAACTCTTGGATGTATTGAAAAATTATTTTTCCTCGACCAGTAGTGGTGCCGGTATTTTTTGTAATACATGCCAAGGAAGCATGTATTACAAAAAATAAGTCTATAAAATATTAGGAAAATTTTTTACATTTTCTAGATTCATTGATGTACCAATGACAAAACAAATCGTTCCGGATCTTCTGCCACTAACGCCTGAACTTGTCGATATTCATGAGAAACAAATTTGTGTTTTGTGAGAACTCTTTGCACAGTACCATAAGTTATAAAGGAATCCTTAACAAGGTATCTTATGGAATTCTCATGGTAGGCTTCAAAATAGCCTCACAAAACATGAAATTTTTTTAACTCGTATTATAGCAAAAATATTTTCATTATTTTGAAATTTTTGATACACTTCTAAAAGAATCACTGATCCAGGAGAATTCGATTAGGATACCATTTGGCATAGTATTCCAGGGCTCTTGAAGAACATTTTCTGCTAACGAGATAAGCCTCTATAGCATATCACATTTTTCTGCGTGAGAGAGTACCATGTTATTGACAATCATCAACACAAGAAAAAACATCAAACATTGACATTTTCCAGCACGTTTCTGATTTTTGAATTTAAGGTCGATTTCCTTCCAAGTAGTACAGTGCAGTATAGCATTGAAATATTTTGCCAATAGTTGGCAGTAACATACTTAGGAAGGAAGGGAGGCCCATTAAAGTTTTATTACTTCCAGGAGCGTTGGCATTTTAGCACAATGCTCTATTCTTTTACCATCAAATGAAACCAAAAGGAGTTGATATAAATTATTTCTAACAGTAACACTAGCGATTTGTTGAGGTATTCTGTCAATGCTCAGCCAATTATTCTTTTATTGAAATATAAATGCTCTTTATTGGTTAAAATTTCATAACTCCTTTATTTTTCACTTCATCAAAAAAATTGTCAAGACCTTTATAACTGAAATATCATTTTCTACCAAAAAAAAATATTACATACAGAATCTTTCATTTGAAAAAAAGGTATTTTACTCAGAAAGACAAAAAACTATGCTCAATTGTTTTTCCATTCCTGCATCTTAATAAGTGTAAAAGTACTACTAGTTTGCCAATTTGACAGATTTCGTATCTTCAATAATAACAAAAATATCATTTTTACTGAATATAAATATTATTTTTTTATGAAGCATATGTAATTATCTTTTTTACATTTTACATTTCATTGACACTTGGATTTTCCTCGCACAAAAATTCTGAAATTCTTTTAGCAATACAGCTTTGTATTGCTTTATATGCATATTCTTTGAACAATAAATTCATTATTTATTCATTAAAATTTTTATTTAGTTAGGTACATACATGATTTTACTTGACTTGATTCAATTGTAAATTTTCTGTAATTTTATTAGAAATGGGGGTTTTGTTAGGCGATTCATTTCTGGGAAAAAATCTTTAGGACTTCTACTTCTCCATCATTATATAGAAAGTGCAAAATTTCTGAAAAAAGGAAAGTTTTTTTTTTATGAATTTTTTCTTCTAGTTTGTATCTGAAGGAAATTTTTGTGCATGATCTACACATCTTTATAGATACTTTTTATTGATGTATTCAATTTTTTCTCCTTTCTTCGAAAGCTTCCCTCTTTCTATTTAATTATGGAGAAAGATGAAAGCCAGATACATTTTCCAAAAACTAATCTCTCGTCTTTTTTAAAGGAAATACCTATGACTGGTATTAAATTAAATAGTAGTATAAATATTCTTTTACGAACCATCATTGTAACAAGAACAAATTTATTTCTTCAAGTGGCATATCTATCTGGAATATCTATGCATGATAGCTGATTCAATTCTACAACACATGTATAGTCTATACGAAATCAATCGGAACAGCTAAATAAAAGACTAATGTACCGGGTCTGATAAATTCGCTAGATAATACCATATAAAACCTGCCACATAGAAAATAAAAATTGAACCTTGTAAATTATAAAACGCCGCCCATACCATACAAAGAAACTGCCGACGTTCAGTAACTATTTTTTTTTGTCATTCAAATTGATTTCATATAGGAGTACAAACTGAATAAGAAAAAGTGAACCGTGTGATGCAATATTAATATATTTCAACTTAAATTATTTTGAATGAATTGTTTCTTTCAGTTTGTATCTGAAAAAAACTTCTGTGCATGATCGACACATCTTCGTGAAGAGTTTTGATTGACATATTTATTCAGGCATTCATTTCATTCCGTTTACTTTGGTTTCTTAAATGATGTTTGATACATATCATCTTTTTTTATGGACCAATTTTTCATGCACATAAAGCCCAATCTCCTGGATTGATTTTCCGTGATGAAATAAAATTACTTGGAGTGCCACAAAGTCTATTGATAATTCATTAACACAATCATGCAAAATGAAATAGTCAGTAACCAGATCATTACCTAGGAAACCATGTTCTGCAAAAGATTAGATAAAACACATGCAACTAAACAAGCAGGAAAACTAATGAACAAAAAAATAACTCAAGTAAAATCAAAAGAAACCTCGTCAAATTCTTCTGCATCTTCAGTTTCGTCTTCTTGAAAATTATTTTCGTCATCATCGTGATTAAAGATAGCATGACCTAACAATGCGGCTTCAAGTTGAGACTGCATCTTAAGAGAAATAAGTGTTAATAGAAATAATGCAAATAAAATTATATGGTTCAGATACCTATCTGACACCCCAAAAAGCCAAAAGCTCTCGAATTAAGAATACCGTAGGCCTTCAACCTACTACTGATTTAGTATACTATGTACATTCATTTACCTTATCAATTTTCGAAAAAAAGTTTATACATAACTTTAGGAGGTTAATAATAAATTGAATATTTATATTTACATCAATAGAACTATCACAACAGTATAATGACAACTAAACGTCAATTTCTTCTTCTTTACATCTGCATATGGGTAGTGGCAGCAAACGCAAGAGCCTACAGTCCAGGTGAACAGGTAGATTTTAGAAAAAATTGATTCCAAAACAATCTTTATTCTAGGTAAGCAGGTAAATTTCAAGAAAACCCATAAATGGTTATAAAGAATAATGATCATAAAATTATGTAATTACTGTTGTGTAAAATGCATTGCATTGTACAATAGTTTAGGGTAACAGTTCAACTGAAGGAGTTACTGAAACGAGTTTTGTGTAAAGTTCATTTATAATTCAAAAATTGTTCAATTATCATTATGGAGATTAAATAATTAGCATTTATATATAAATGAATAATCTGGTACTTACCAGTTTCGTGAGTCCTGTAGTAGGTGTACTTAAGAGATTAAACAAATGTAATTCAAATGAATTGAAATTTAAGGCTTCTTTATCCGTAAATGTATGCAGTTTTCCAAAAATATTGTTCAAAATAATTATAAAATCTCTTAAAAAGATGATTGATATAGTAATAGTTTTGGATCATTAAATTCAGAATGAAGCACTCAATAGCATCATGTATTTGGTATGCTGAAACTTTGTTGAATAAATATAAATACTTCACAACATAAAATGTATTCATTGAAACTAAAGAAGGCAATATATCAATATACACAAAAACCCAATACGTCCCTTTTTATAACTTGGCCAATAACATATTTTACTATCAGGCAATTCGAAAGTACCTAGACTAATTTCGCGAATACTGATATACATCTGGGATATTTTACTTTGATATCAATTAAATAGATTAGAATTCAAGGTGTATTTTTTATACCAATTGAGTATCAATTCTAATATCATTTTTGTTATGGGAAAAGTCTCTAAGATTTAGTAAACAAAAAGTTCAGGTGAATTTCATAATAATTATATCTTATACTACATTTCTGGGTAGAATATATCTTCAGCAATCTAAAGCATTCATAAACCAGGTACATAATCAATCAGCATATTATAATGAAGGTAACTTGTGTACTTACCAATTCCATAAGTCATCCTCAGATACGCCTAGGTGATTTTGATGTCATATTCAAATAAATTAGAATTCGTTACTTCTTTATTCAACATATTAATACTTAGGAGTATAAGTTTCAACAGTAATACATTCAATTTTAATCTTTATCTTAATGTTTTCAAACATCTTGGAATATGAAGTTATTTATGTTTTAAGTACATTAGTTATATCTCTTGCTACAGTTCCTGGTAGATATATCTTCAGTCAAGGCCGTAGCGAAAAGAAATATCAGGCGGGGAGGGAATCCAAATTTTCCCAACCCCACCAGCAAAATTTCCAAACTTTCGAAAAAATGAATGCGAGGGATTAGTTACTACTATAATATATTGATTTTCTTACTCAGCTATCCAAAGATTGGCTGAATGCTTATGCCCTTTAGGTTATGCACAAAAAAAATAAATTTATTCATAAAAATAATAATGGGAATTATTTTACTTTGGACCAAGGTCCTTGGTCTTCCACCATATACACCATGTATAGGAATATTCAATACAAATGAAAGGAAACAACACTTAAATAATATTGTGCTTATTGTTTTCTATTATCATTTTTTCTATCTTCACAGCCCGAAACTTCCCAACTTTTCCAAGTCGAAAAAACAGTGAAAAGCTGGGAATTTTGTAAAATTGTCACTTCAAAATTTGTGGACTGTTCAGGACTCTTCTCTTACTTGGGAGAAACTAAACTTTTTTGAAATTTTAAAACAACTCTCCAAGTTATGGATGTTGGGAAATCCCAACTTTCTCCCGGTCCTTTCCCTTTTCTTATTACCTCTCCCTTTCTTTTCTCTCATTTTTTTTTATTTTTATTCATTTTTCCTCTATTATTTTTAACTATCTTCACAGCCCAAAATTTCCCAACTTTTTCCCAAGTCGAAAAAACAGGGGGAGAGGCTCCCCCCCCCATCCCTCCATGGCGACGGCCCTGTCTTCAGTTATCTAAACTGAATAAAAACCAATAGGTAATAACTACAATACAGAACAAAAAATATTACATTTATTGAAAATGTGTCTAAATCAATAGCAAATTTTGATCATCAGATTCAGATGGCAGCTGAGAATAACATCATGTATTTGTCGATCCAAAACTTGTGAGAAGTACGAAGTTTCATATCATAATACCTAAATACTGAAACTGAAAATAGGTGGAAGACCATACTCGACCATAGAAAAACTTTTTTTCCGATGTTAAAGCGGCAATTAGCAAGTAACATAATAAAACTTGTATGAATGAATACGAATTTTCATGCCATTATAAGCACTGGAATTAAAAATAGGTGAAGGGCAAGCATTTTTTAAGCGTCCCTTCCTGATAATGGATACCTTGAGTAACATAAAACAAAAACAAACCATATCTTCAGCAACATAAAACGAAAACAAACCATTACCATCTTTCTATACAGTAACAGTTTTTCATCATTCGAGTCGGAAATAACTTAGCATATCATCATGTATTTGATATTCTGAAACTCATGTGAATAAATCAATGTTTCAATGTTCAAGAGAAACAATTTTGGAAATTTGTATTATAAAGTTTCATCCTTATTCCTATATTTCCTTCCTTACTGAAATCTCTTGAAAAAAGTTCCTTGAAGATATTAACATCAGTTATATCTGATGCTACAGTTCTTAATAATGTAAATATATGGTCAGCAATCCAACAAAAACCAATCATCATGGCAATATCAAAAAATCTAATGTTTTAAAAATATGTTTGAATCGTAATTGTTAATTCAGAGGGCTTTTAGAATGCCACCAAATATTTGGTTTGCTGAAAGTTGTGTGAATACTATACTATAATAAATACTGGAATTAAAAATTACAGACGGAAGACAAGTCCTGATAAACACCTTTATTATTATAATTTGACAATGCAAATGCTTTCACTCTGATATGGGTCAAAAACAATCCTCATATTTCATAGGTAGAATTAGAAACATATAGTTATTTACTGGTTTCTGGAGTCCCGAGGTACATTTAGGTACTCTCATGGCATAGGTATTCAAATGGATATCAGTGATTAGGTGTATCAATTCAAACCGTTTTGGTAAATTTTACATTAATTATATCTCATACAATTTCTGATATCTTCAGCAATCCAAATTAGTAAACAAACTTATACCTAAGCTGACGCTTGCGAGTATAAATATTGTAACGAATTAAAGAATTAACTGTCTTAAACAAATTTATTTCAACAATACTTCCCTATCACAACTAATTTATTTACACCACTCAGTAACTAACGCTTAATTTATCTTCACCGTTTGTTAACCGCTCAAATCGCTTTCTTGGTACAGACTACTCTTCGGGACGAAGAGCGACGTTTTTATATTGTCAACGAACGTTCCGGATCCCTCTGCGGATTTCGNCTTATTTAATGGAGTCCGAAACACTTATTTATTTTCACAAGTCTATTTTTCGCGAGAAAGGTCTATCAGTTTATATTTCCGTCGTCCGGTACTGTCCGCTTCGCGAAACACAATGAATCACCAGTCTATCTGCGCGAAAGTTTTATAGTCAATTTCACCGTAATAGAAAAATTGTCCACCAAGCGCTCACAAATTTATTTTAAAAATCCACTTCTGATCACCAATTGTAACGAATTAAAGAATTAACTGTCTTAAACAAATTTATTTCAACAATACTTCCCTATCACAACTAATTTATTTACACCACTCAGTAACTAACGCTTAATTTATCTTCACCGTTTGTTAACCGCTCGATTCGCTTTCTTGGTACAGACTACTCTTCGGGACGACGAATGACGTTTTTATATCGTCAACGAACGTTCCGGACCCCTCTGCGGATTTCGGGACTCATCCGGAATTTTCGCGGTATTTCGTGATGCGTCATGCGTCGGTCAGGGCCGGCTTCAGATTCATTACAATATCATGTGAAATGAATTGAAACTAAATATAGATCAAAGCCAAATATATTGACAAATGCAAAAGCTCTGTGCTTTCCTTATGATAACTTGATTCTGCAATTTAAATTCAAGGCTAAATAAAAGTTTCTTAACATCTCTTGAAAACAGTGACAGTTTTTGATCATCAGAATACTCATGTATTTGATGTACTGAAACTTGTGTGAATAAATATTAAGTTTCATTCCATAATAAGGGCTGAATCTAAAGATATTTGGAAGGCAGTTAATGATAAAAACAAAAAATCTATGCTTTTCCTTCTGTAGGTTAGGTTAGGTCTAAAGTGAGTGGGTCTATTCGATCCTTCACCGCAATCCGCAAGTGTTCATTGTGGCTCACTCCTATTCACACTCTGCCAAATAAACCCAGCTTCTTAACGAAGCCGATTAGTTTGTATGATGAGTGGTCTTTCAGGTCAGATGGTAAGAGTACGGCTCTGCCAAACTCTAAGAACCTGATTCGGTCTCCAGCGGGGCAGGCACAAAGTATATACTCTGCTGTTTCATAATTTTACAAATAGAGGCGACACACACTGTCTTCCGACAGTCCAAGTCTCTGCATATGATGGTTCCAATGACAGGGACCTGTAAGAAGACCTGTTAGATATCGTAGTTCATCTCTACTGTAGTCCAACAACTGTTTGGTATCAAGCTTCGAAGGGAATGACCCAATCCTGGAAGATTCTGCCAGAAGTCCATTAATCTTCTTGCCGTCCAGGTGTTCAAAGTTCTGTAACTTGACCCTACAATACCTTTACACTGGGATAAACATTCAGTATATTTACAAAGGTGATTTTCAAGACAAAATATTTAAATGAAGAAAAATGCATGACTATTATATAGAACATATGTTGAGTACTCATTTTTGATATTTTCAAGTTTCCTCCTTTCCAATACCGTCTGTTGAAAATATTTCTCAAAAAGTTATATCTCGTACTACAGATTCTGATTTTTCAGCAAGGTAAAAGAACACAAGGTAAAATTGAAAAAATCTAGCATCTTTCAAAAATGTGAAGTCAGTAATAGTTTTTAGCCATTAGAATCAGATGGAACTGACAATACCATCATGAATTTGGTATTTTGAAGTTTCATACAATAATGAGTGGGTACTGAATCAAAATATAGGTGGAAAGCAAGCAATAATTAACTAACAAAAATAATGATTTATTTAATGTAACTTGATCTAATGAAGACTTATATTCGAAGATAAATGGACAATAAGCTAATGATAATTAAGCTAGACCTAGTATTTTCTGAGATAGGTATATAATCATTTTACTTGACCAGGGATTATGGTTAAACCATTTTTCAAACAAAGGTTACCTGCAAAGCTGCAGATATTTACAATCATCAACTGTAATCTCTACCTCTAGTTATTTTTAATTCAGTATTTCTTCAAAAACACTACCTTAACTCAATGGTTTATTGGGCCACAAGGTGCATACCTACAAATAATTTTCATGACATCATTTAAATGAATATGAATTCATGACTTTTTTGTGGCACATATATGTCTGCGAATATCAATTCGAATAGTAATATTTTCAAGTTACTTTTTTCCCTACATAATGATAATGTATTCCTATAACTGATAACATTTTTGGGAAAGTGGATAATTAGCATAACATAAGCACTAATTAGTTTTCATGAAATATTTTTATAATAAATCAGAACTTCAGGAGTATCAATTTGGATGGTATTGGATGTATTGTGAATGGGGATCTAAAATAAATACAGACTGAAAATATAAAGCAGAGTCAGAAACTAACATATTTCAAAAATGTGATTGAATAAGTAGGAGTTTTTGATCATCAAATCAGATTTTTAATTATACCATCATGTATTTGGTATGTTGGAAAACGAAAACATGAAAATGAAGTTTCATATTGTAATTGAACTAAGAACAGATGAAAAGCAAATCTTGATTACATACATTGAACTATATGTTTTCCTTATTATAATAATCATCTTATGAAAGTTTTACTCAAGATTGGTGAATAAAAAGCATATATCATAAAATGGATCACAATTCATGACTTCTCTACACCACATATTTATGTTAACAAGTGTCAACTCGATATTTTCCAGATTCCCATACATTGTATATTTTACTGAAAAAAAAAATCTTTTGAAAAAGGTTTCTTAATATATTTCGCAGTTCCTGATAATGAATATCATCATAGAAAAATAAAACAAAGTGCACAAGTATGAAGTTTCCTGTAACTATTGAAACTAAAAATTAATGGAAAATGTTATGCTTTTCTTGAGGATATGAAGAATTTTTTTATTGATTCGGCCGTTACTTGATGAAGATCCATTGTAATTTCATAAAATATACCTCACTATTTGATCTCCACAAACTTTATTTGAAAAATATATCACGACATATTTCGCTAACACAGTAGCTTCTTCAACAGTGATTTGAATATTCAAATCACTGTGTTAGCGAAACATGTGATATATTTTTTAAATAACTTTATTTGAAAAATATATCACGACATGTTTCGGTAACACAGTAGCGTCTTCAACAGTAATTTGAATATTCAAATCACTGTGTTAGCGAAACATGTGATATATTTTTCAAATAAAGTTTGCGGAGATCAAATCGTGAGGTGTAGTTTATGAAATTCATATGCAGACTTTTGCAATGAGATGTACAGACACTCGGCATATTAGAATAAGCATATAAACTATGTAGTTTTATGAGGCCTGAAGAGGTACATCTTGGTAATGTGCATGACATTATTAAATTTTAAAACTCCTATATACTACAAGCCTATTAATGTTTTGAATCGATTCGAATTGTAATATCTTCAAGCTTCATACATAATACATTCGGGAAGGTTTCATATTAAATATACCTATTTCATGCTACAGAATATCTGGAACAATTTAAAATACCCTGTTGTTGAATAAATAATATTTTTCGTACCATTAAGTACTGGAACTAAAAATAAGTAGAAGTCAAGTATTGATGAACACAAAATATCTGTGCTACCTTTGCTTTTGAAGGTTCCTCAATAATAAGTTTTCCTTTCACATTGATTACATTCGATGATACAGTTCCTAATGATGTATATATCCGACAACCTAAATTAAAAATAAACCACTGAAACTAATTCTTTTTGTTCTAAGTGTAAATCAGTAATAGTTTTAATTCTTAGATTCAGGAAGAGCTTTAAATACCATCATGTATTTGGTATTCCGAAAATTATGTGAAAAAACATGAAGCTCCAATAAATAATGAGTAGGGGAATTAAAAAAAAACTAGTTTCTTTCCTTTATTATGACTTGCAATGAGCAGATGGACGAACGATAAACCTATTATATATTAAAACTAACCCGGATAGTTTTCATAACATACGGCTTCTTTATACTACATATCAGTGGAATTCATACGAGTATCATTTTGAAAAATGTTTTCAAGTTGATTCCTTCACACACTGTATTCCTTGAGAAAGGTTACTTGAGTTCCTTAATGATATTGATTTCAGTCATCAGGAGATGACTAAGACTACTAATCATGATGCTAAATTGGTTAGCAAAACGCGCATCGAGAAATAGCATTTTTGTTCTGGTGAGGAAGAAATGTTTTCAACCAATTCATTTTACGCCAGATATTTTAAATTCTGCTTATCAAGATGAAAAGTTTTTTTTTTGGTTAGAGTACATAGTGTTAGTCCAATACTGAGATTCAAGAGGAGGCTGAAAACCACCAAGTAATTGAATTTGTGGTTATTGAATTTGTGGGGTCAAAGTAGTCAAGAAGGGTAGGTATTTGTAATCGTAGTTATGACACTATCAAGTTACCAACATAATCAAACGTTTTGAGTTCTTGAAATCCTACTGTTTTTGAACGTCAAAGTATCAGCAGAGAAAAAATAAAGTCATTTTGCAACAATCTGAAAATTTCTCAACATTACTTTTTCGATTTGAAATTGACCCTCCAAAAAGTGCGTACTATCAATGACAAAACTCTTTAATTTCCATTGACGTTGAATCTTGATTTATCCTCCAGTTTGCAGTCTATAAGTTGTATCAAATAAGTTGCCAAAGTTTTATTGAGGGTCACGAAATAATTGAAAACTGAAACTATACGAGTTTCAATAACAGTTAATCAATTGTAATTAAAACTAGCGCTCACGCTATACCATGTCAGAGACTGAAAAGCAGCTTTTTGTTAAATACACGCATCAAAAATTACTGACATCTGCAGTGGATTTGTCGTAATTCATTTATAATTCATTTACTCACATTTTCATAAAATTATTTAAACGCAAGCTGTTGTATGTTTTCTTTACTCATACAAGCAGTGAGATGGCATCAGATTCGAAAACAAGTTTCAGAAAAATTATTAGATTTTATTGTAAAAATTCAAGTGTACCTGGAATTAGTTGGGTAGTGGAGAAGAACATATTTTTTGTAGAAAGGTATATGATATTTTTTCTCAAACTATATTGCCAGAAAGATAAAATATTATTATTTTTCATTCTATTATCACTAGTTTCTTTAATACTTATTGCCTTCCAGTTCAGGAGTTATAGGAATAAAAATTACAAAAACCCCAGCTGTTATCCAACGAAACGCCTTTTTCACGCACAAAAACTAGGTATATACTGTCTCCCGACGTACGTTTCACTAACCAACTCAGCATCGTCAGGAGATGACAGTTTTAGTCATATCATAAAGATAGTCAGAATAACTCAATAAAAATATTTAACTACACCAAAAAATCTGATTTAATAATCAGTAATAAATTTACATCATCACTCTTATTAATAAATATTTTTTGTAGAAAATTGTAAGATTTTCTTCTTGCTCATTTTTTTATAATATTTCCCTAATTAATTTCAATTATATAAAACTCATTAGAAAATCTAGACTTGAGTGTTTGTTGTAACATTAGTCTCCAACTTCTTATACCTACTTATTCTAGATTTGTTCAGAACAAAAAATCATCAGAAAACAAACTTTGACGTGCCGGAAACCAAATTTTTAGAGTTATCAAAATTGATTAAAACCTAGTCAACTAACAACCTATTCAGAACAGATTATGTATAATAATCATAGTAATAATAATAATAATGTTTTATATGGATGATCTTAAACTTTATGTCTCTGGAGAGAAGGATCTCCATCAGTCCTGGAGGGTGGTGGAAGACTACACGCATGCTATCGGTAAGAAATTCGGGATAGATAAATGTGCAATGGTCCATCTCAAAAGAGGACGACGCGAGGACTACGAAAAAGGTGTGCAGCTCGTTGATGGAAGCATCCTGCACCATCTGGATGCCGAAGAGACGTATATTTACCTCGGGCACAGATTAAATATTTAATCTGTGCCTCGGGGTGAAACAACGCCACTCACAAGAGGTAGCAGCAGCACTGCTTTCTCAGTCAGTACTAACCTTCAAAAAAAAAGCAATGGAAATTTCATGATTTTCTATTCATAAGTTTGTGAGTTATTGTGCTAAGAAAGAGTTCTTTTGTTATTTTCAAAACAATGGATAAAAAACAATTTCGTGTTTTAAAATGGTACTACTTCCTGATGCGTAAAAATACTTTTCAAGCGAAGCACTGCCTTGGAAAATGTTATAAGGACTCTGCTTCATCAGAAACAACAATCAAACGTTGGTTTGCTGACTTCAAACGTGGTCATAGAGACACTGATGATGCAAAACGCAGTGGACGTCCAAATGAAGCAGTAACACTAGAAAACGTAAAAAATATCCACAAAATCGTTTAGAATAATCGAAAAGTGAAGTTGTATGAGTTAGCCGATATTGTAAAGATATCAATAGAACGTGTTGGCTCTATATTGCATGAGCATTTGACAATGAGAAAGCTCTGTTCAAAGTGGGTGCCGCGCTAGCTCACCGTTGGCCAAAAAAAAGAACGTCTTGATGATTCTGAGCAATGTTTGGCTATGTTTAAACATAACAAACCTGAATTTTTGCGTCGATATACGACAATGGATGAAATCAATCAGAAAAAAAAAGTGAATATTGTGCTGATACCACATCTGAGCAGGATTCTCAGAGCCTGTGTGGCCTGGGGATATATTCCAAAATCATGGCAAAAGGTGAAAGTAGTCTTCCTGCCAAAAATAGGCAGAATATTAGACCAAACGCCCAAGCCATACAAACCTGGCATTCTAACGTCCTTCCTAAGGTTACTGGATAGATACATAAGAGACGAAACGTTGAAGGAAAGACCTCTTAGTGCTCGTCAATATGCATACCAGCCTGAGAAATTGACAGATTCAGCACTGGACTACTATCTAAGTCCTCTTTAAGTCCAGTGCGTCTATAAGTGATGCACTGGGAAAAAGAGGAGTACCAACTGTCGTGTGTCGATGGATAAAAGCCAGCCTAGAAAGAAGGATGATATACATCACTCTAGGAGAGGCTACCATACAGGTAAGAGCAGAGAAGGGATGCCCACAAGGAGGCGTAGGTACTATCGCCATTGCTATGGGCAACCCTAGTAGACGATCTCCTCAGGAAGCTATCTGAAGAAGGCATATATCGCCTGGGATATGCTCACGATCTGGTGATAGTCACAAAAGGGAAATTTGCAGGCGTCATCTCGAAGCGCATGTGAAGGGCCTTGAACATCGTCGGCAGATGGTGCGAGCATGGGAACCTCTCAGTGAATGCCCAAAAACTACTTTCGTACTACAAGGAAAAGAGTGATGCAAGGACTAAAACCACCAATACTCAATGAAGTGGAGATCCCTTTTGCCAGGGAAGTCAAATACGTATGTGTGACTTTAGATCACAGACTCACGTGGAACCTTCACATCCAAAAGACAGCACATAAGGCCAGGGTGGCCCTAGTAATCTGCAGAAGGATGTGTGGAAAAAATTGGGGGCTGAATAAAAAAATGACACGTGACTGAGTGTCGCGGGACCCATGACAACGACCCCAACTGCAGCACTTGAGGTCCTACTCGGACTTCTACCATTGCACATCTACTCTACCATTGCACATCTACATACGAAGAGAAGCCCCACTGGTGACACACAAGCTAATGCAGGGACAAACCCCAATCAGCCAGTCACACGGTGCAGAATACATGAAACTGTACAATGAACTGAAAGCAGATCCAATACTAGGAATGCCCGTGGAAAACACAGTTTCGCAGCACAACTTTCAAAAGATTTCAAAATCATCATATTAAGGACTGGCAAAACGGCCCACCGGGAAAAGCGGAAGAAACTTGGTATAGCTCAAAGACCCAAGAAGGAATGGTAGCCGGTATATACGGAGGAAGAGCAAATACGAGAATCACACTCAGACTCGGACATAATACAACTGTCTTCAAGGCAGAAGTGGCGGCCATCGAACAGTGTATAGGGGAAATAAACAGGCAGAAGGTCACAAATAAAACCATTGCCATTTTCTCTGACAGCTAAGCGGCAATTAAAGCGGTCAGCTCAATCTTCTCAAGACTAGTGGGAAGCTGTCTGAGCGCACTCAAAGAGCTAAGTACCCAAAATAGGGTCACTCTAGCTTGGATACCCGGACATGAAGGTCACAAGGGCAATGAGAAGGCCGGTGTTCTAGCCCGTGAATGCGCATCCAAGGCTGTGATTGATCCAGAACCCTTCTGCGGGGTAGCGAAAGCATGCATAAAGACATCCATAAACTGATGGATGCAAGCCGAATCGACAGATTGGTTGAATAAGATCCCAGGAATGAGGCAGGCGAGAGAATTCATAAAGAAAGCTCTTCCAGATTCACGGAAGAGCTGCTAACCCACAACCGTAAGGTTGTAAGGGTGGTGGTGGGTCTACTGACGGGACATGGCCGGTTCAGGAAACATATGAGCAACATGGGTCTGACAGAAGAAACCCAATGCAGGTTCTGTCAAAAAGAGGAAGAAACCGCACTGCATGTACTCTGTGAATGCGAAGCGATAGCAAGGCTGAGACACGCAGGATGCAGGGAAGAAAAACCAGAGGATGCCAGCTATATCAAGGCAGTGTCAAAGCTATGGAGTCTCATCAAAGAGATCAAGCTAGACAATGAGCTCTAACAACCAAGGAGCATCACAATAGATCTGAAAAGGCTGCAGTGAATGAGGCCATTGGCTAGCTCCCCGGCAATCTAAGCTAACAGTGAATATTATATAGCGTTATTGGAGCGTTTGATGGCCGAAATTGCCGAAAAACGACCCCATTTGAAGAAAAAGAATATGCTACTTCATCAAGAGAATGCACAGTGTCACAAATCAATGAAAACGATGGCAAAATTGCATGAAACGGGCTTCGAATTGTTCCCGCACATACCATACTCGCCAGACTTGGCATTCAGTAACTACTGGCTAATCGCTCGAATGAAGAGGTTAATTGCTGAAACTTAGGCCTATTTTGAGGAAGAAGACAAATCAATTTACAAAAGTGGTATTGAAATGTTAGAGCGGAGCTGGAATGACTGTGTGGCTCTTGATGGAGATTACGTTGATGAATAAAGCCAATTTGAAAAAAAAACGGGTTTTGTTTCTTAGGCCCTGAACTGTTTATCCCAGGTATTAACCGTTAATATTGTGATATTTTTCAATTAATGTTTAAAGTTTTTTTATTGGGTATCTGTAAGACCCACAACATCTACCTACTACAAATCACAATATGGCCTATGAGAGTATTTTACAGACTCTTCTGGGTACTCCTTAATGTTGCAATGCTGGGATGCACCGCCATATTTCTCCACCATTTGGCCGAAGACAATTTCGAATATCCAGTCATCGTCACTCCAGAATCAGCAGATCTACCTATCCAAAAAATTGAATTTCCAGGGGTTGCTATTTGCAGTATCAACAAAATTAGCAAAAAGCGAGCTTTGAAATTAGCGAAACTCTTGTAAGTATTGTTATTCTTGCGAGAGCCGATTATATTATTTATCATTAGTAATTGATTATTACAACAATTTGGAGTGGGTGTATCGAAGCGATGAATAGAGTATCAACTTTCGGTAATGCTTGGGGGAGTATTCTCTGTATATGTGTACACTAAGCCCAAATAGGTTTATTCTGACTTTTCCAAAGCATCTCGTGCATTTGTTATTCTTGCAATGTGATTGTACCAATTTTTTGTTTGTTTTATACAATTGACACAGAAACTGTCCGCGAAATTATGTGTCCTAACAATATATGTCGAGTTCTGCCATATCAACCTCCTTAAAGAAAACTGACGCCTGTGTCTAGGTCTTGATTGAGAAGCCCTTTCAGGTCATCATTCTTCAGACTGTGAGATGAGATGAATATTGAGGGTCGAGAGTCAACGTGATTAAAAAAAAAACAATAAATTAATCAATATAGGCCATTAAAGTACCAAAAAATAATCGATGCCTTTAACAAAGGAAAAATATTTTTTATAAACATACTAAAACAATCTACTGAAAACACTATTCCTCCACCAGAACAAAATAGCTGTTTCTCGACGCGCGTCTTAATCCTCTCCTAGAAATCAACAATAGTAGTGCATCTGGCCAAAAATGTAATGAAAATCTAGATAACTCAATATCCGACATTCATGAAGCATTTTCTTGTTGACAAGAATTAATTGCAATATTTTTTGATATCACTAAGGCGTTCGATACTGCATGGCGGTACGATATACTGGGGACATTTGAAAAATGGCATATTAATGGCAATATATATAATATATGGAGACACCCTACATTTTGTTTTATAAGAGAGAGGACATTGTTAGATCAAGATCTTCAGATGATGTGGTGCTGCAGGTTTTTCCGGGTTTTCCTGCAGCTGAAAAAGCAAATGCGCCACTGGAATCCATGAAGTCGCCCCGGAGCGCAAATTAATTTTTATTGTTGTTTTTATTTTATTTTTATCGTTGTTTCATTAATAAAAAATTACATTTGTACATATATTAAGATTCATAAACAATTTTTTTCAAAACCCGAATTTTTCAAGCTCGAATCGATGGAAATTTATCCAAACCAAAAGTACAACAGAACGGAACTCCTTAAGGCTCCAATCTGAGTGCAACACTTTTCTTAATTGCCATAAATGGACTAATACAAAAATGTCAACTACCAGTTGAAGCAATGCTCTACGCCGATGATTTGGTGGTATATGCAGGGGAAAAATGTATCATCAATTCATAACCTTCTTCAGAAAGCACTGGACAACATCGATATATGGAGTAAGGAACCTGGACTCCAATTCTCAATCGAGTAACCAAGGTCATCCATTTTTGTAAAACAAAATTACCTCCACCCTGAATAATATTCCTCTTGAATACATAGAGGAGAAACGCTTCTTAGGAATGACTTTCGATCACAAACTTTCATGGAAGTCTTACATTTGCAAAATTCGTCTCTCATATCAAGCTGATCTTAATATAATGAAATCGGTCTCCCAAACAGAATGGAAAGCAGATTTTTTTCACATTGAATCACATTTACAAAACGTTAATCAGATCCAAATTAAATTACTGATCTATATTTTATGATTTCGCCAGTAAATGCACACATAACAAGCTACACACAACTTATAATACAGCTATCAGAATAGCACTGGGAGCATACTGTAGGTACAAGCTCGATCGATGGCATTGTTTGCGAAGCAGGAGAACCACCATTAGCAGAGCGCCGAAAATATTCAACGATGATGTACGCTTCTAAAATCTCAGCCTTTCCCAACAATCCAGTTCCAGGTGATTTCAAGAAACCTACAACCGCCGGAAAAAACTTGATTTTACGTTTTACGAACGTCTGAATCGAATTTCCTCCAACCTCAATTTGACCACACCCAAAACCGCTCATTTATCTGAAATCGACAGTCTCCCTTCATGGACCATCAGCCTTTTGACCAACATTACCTTGAACAGTCCCAAAACATTCCAAATTTCCCCCACAATTCTCAAAAATCTATACATCCATTTCGAACCCATCTGCTCATCTTCACAGACGCCTCTTGTTCCAGTATAACGGCATTGGCGCCGCTTTCACCACAAATGAATTCAATGCAAAATTCAAACTACCATCGTCAACCTCTACCTACACTGCAGAATTGACAGTAATTCTTGAAGCGTTGCAATACATAAATTTCCATAACATCCCTCAATGTATAATAATAACAGAATCATTGAGTGTAGTAACCTCATTGAATCAACTCCATCCTAGCCATCCGGTTCTGATGTAGACTAAAACAGAACTATTTCATATTCATCAAAAGAACATTCAAATCCAATTTCTTTGGGCTCCCTCATATATCGGAATAGAAGGCAATGAGAAGGCCAATAGTTTAGCCAAGGATGCCACAGAACTTCAAGATTTCACAATCACCACCCGGACATTTACTACAACGATCTAAAACCGCACATCAGAAAAGCTGTAATGTCTAAGTGGTGGACGGGATAGAATATACCTAAAGCCAAACTTTCAGAAATCAAATCAACAATACTACCATGGAGCAATCTACCTCAGAAGAGAAACATTCAGACAACTCTATCAAGACTACGAGTTGGACACACACGTCTAACTCACACTACTCACAGTTATCTCCTCAAGAGAGAAGAAGCTCCCACGTGCTACATCTGTGAAACAACATTAACCGTGAAACACTTTTTGGTGGAGTGTCCGCTATAGGGAAGACCGGGATTTTTGTCTTTTGCATTTTTACTGTCCTTTTTTATATATTAACAGTGATATTTTTTATCACTAGATCGTGTTTTTATACTCATTTGAAAAAAAGTATAATTTTTTTTTCCAACATCATCCATAGAGGAAATATAACAATTCTTATGGAAAAGAAAAAGTGTAACTTTTAATTTATTATATCCCAAAAGAGAAAAAAGTGTATTATTTGTAGGAAAAAACATATTGGTTCCAAATAAATAACTTCTTTCTGGTAATTAAAATACCAAAAATATCCATCAGGCCGCAATGCTTGTAAACTAAAACTACCCATCCTTGCGAAATTATATTTAGTCAGTCTAAAATTGAGTGAATATTCGAAATCACAATTATAGTATATGTAACCTAATGGTAGCCTGGTATAGCAAATGTAATGCTTTTTTTCGAATATCCTTGGGAGACGATCCGAAATAAATACTTGAAGTCATAAATATGTATCTTTCTAATTATTTCTTCCATTTGTCGGTGAAAACTTGCCTATACCTTTGATAACCAATTTTTGTTGATGATATTGATAACACCGTGTTGCTTATCTCTTCGACAATGATTTTTTTTTACAAAACCGTGTCAGAATGCGATAATAATTAATCCCAAAATCACTTTTTTTGCAGCACGCAGTATCACTGCGCGTAATACTAGTCGATCAGACTTTCTCATACGATGCCATGACATTTCTATGATTTTTTCTAAAACAAACAAAATTGTATGTAGCAGAAGCTCAAAAAGCCAACAAAAAATGCAGCATACATAATATATGGTGTTGGTTGTCACATGTGACTACCAGCCCCCCTCAAATTGAGACAACCAGCCCCAAAACACATTTCAAAAAATAACGCCCTGAAATAACTCAGATTCGATATTCATTCATAAAAACGGATAGTATTATCGTGAACAACATATGTCACATCAAAAATACATGAAATGATATATATATTTACGGAAAATTCTAGTATACTTATGGGACTCGACACAAATGCAAAAAAATTTACTTTTGCCGTCCGAAGAAAAAAAAATGTACGTATCTCCCTCACACAGTATGAGAGTGAACTGAAGTAATATAAGGATGGAGATATTGCTCTTGCGATCCTTCGATTTTGTTCGATAAACTCTTTCGTTCGATAAACTCTTTCGTTCGTTCAATTTTCCGCTGTGACCGGCAATATGGCCGCTGTGACAACCAACCCGTAAGACAACCATACCCGGTCTCCCCTACACAGATAAGAGATTAGCAAATGAAATGACAAAATATCTAAAAGTGTACCTAACCGGTCAGTCAAACAATAAACTATTCAAATTTCTGAAAGACATCAATTTCCTACATAAAAAATCAGTTACAAGTTACTTCTGATTCGCTTATTGTAGTCAATGTACTATAAAAAGTATATTATGTGAATTAATGTAAAGCCATTAACCCCTGACGGTTGAGACTCAAATAAATTTAAAAAATCTGCGTTTTTTGGCTATAGCTTGTGTTTCCATTTTTGAAATATTTGGAGCCAGTTGTGGAAATATATTGATATGTTCTAGACAAAAAATTGAAAAAAACGCTGATTTTCGCACCCTTGTGGAAGATATAAAATTGTTGGGAAATCTATATGATCTAGACATATATGACCCAGGAAGACTGTCAGAGTTTCAGGACTTACTGGACGATATCGACAATACAACTGAAATTGATGACCCTAAGCTGCGAATGAGAGAAGTAAGCTTTTTATATTTATGAATATGAGACTATTTTGAATCAAATATAAATATCTGAAGAGCGTCGATCTCTTTGAGAGGTGGATTAAAACTATATCTACCTTTATTTAATCATTTTATATTTCATGTTTCGAGTGGATCAATGTTATCGAAATATTGCCTCTATAAGGCGGGGGAAATTTTTGAAGTGATGTAAATCAGTGATGGCTCGTGCATTGAAGAACAGGGGAGGCTAAAGTCATAAAGACTATATACACACAGAAAAGCCCGTCGGAGGCGCGAAATTGTTTATGTTGTTGCACGCTTTGCTTAATACTAAAGTTAGGGCATGGGCATGACAATGCGTAAAAAGTGCATGAGGAGCTATGGACTTTATTTTAGTTTGTAAACCATTTAAATGGCCGGCCATGACCGCAGCCCTATCATAGGTTTGCGCAATTAACTTTTGCCTAAAATTATAGGTGTCACATGTAGGTACGAATTAAAAAATTAAACAAATCGTCAGCTGTGCGCCCAGATAAAACATCATGAAAACCCATAACACGTTCTACCACATTACCATCTTTCACACATCTAAAAACGATTGAAAGTTGTGATGTACAGGTAATATAGGTAGTTTCATCAATTTCCCATGCAAAAAAAGAAACACTTTCAATCTCCTTGCTTATATTTTCCTTAATAATATATGCCACACTGTCTATAAGCTCATTTTGGATGGTTTTTGAGGTGCCCGATAAAACGCTACCGTTTAAAAATGTGACGAATTGTGAATCATATTTGCCTGATAACATTAAAAGTTTCTTGTAATTGCCGCGATTAATCGAATCTTCGGTTTCATCGTGTCCACGAAAAGCTAATTCTTGGGAACCCAAATAAATCGTAGTATCGTAAAGTCTTTTTAAATTCGACCGATTTTCCCTAACCTGATTATTAAAAGAAATTATGGCCTCTTTTTGAGCTGTATCTAAAGCTGTTGCTATATTTTGTTTGCTAAACAATTTTAATTTACAAGACGAAAATATATGCTCCTCAGATTTAAAATGTCTTTCTGTAGAACGAGGTAATTTTTTTAAATCGGAGTATCCTATTTTAGACCACACAGGGCCAACAAAAAAGTTTTTCTCGTTTAATGGAGGCGGTTAACCAATCGCATTTATCGTACCAACTAATATTAAATCCTCGATTTTGTCGATTATCTTAATTGAAATAAAATTTGGTTGAGGCCTTCCCAGAGTTTTAATAATGTAAAATTTATTATCATAAGATAAAGACTTGAAATTATTTATTAGCAACCAATCGACTCTATCGTCAGATTTTTTAATTTCGTCCAACTTATCCATAATAAATGAAAAAAAAACTTACCGAAAAGTGAAAACCTGAAAACACCTTGAAATTGAAAGAAAACACTTTAAAAACACATAAAAAAATATTACCAAAAAGCACTGCTATAATACAATATTGCCTGTTTTATATACAAATAACAAATATTATCAAGAAACACTAAAACGATTTACCGAAATATTTCTCAGTCCCGGTCCGTCACGGCATCCCGTCCAAATAATTAAATAAAAAACAAAGGCAGTCGTTCACTAACAGAGACTAACTGGAGGCTAGCCTCCTCTAACACTATAATTTCTGCAACTGAAATTACAAATCGGGACGTATGTCGCTGGTTGGATCGGTCTCGTAGAGCCTGTGTTTTTCAAAGCGGTCGGAGGCTTGGCTCCTTTGCAACGTATGTCATTTATTATTTCGGGTTGATGGTTTATTCGTTATTCGTTCATGGGCGGTGCGTTTGAGTTTTGTTGATGCAGGATACAGTGTGGTACGTACTACGTAGTGAGTAATAGTGTTTTTTCGGGCATATTATGTATTTATATTGAAAATTAATGGTATTTTTAGAAAAAAATAATCATAATTATTTGTCAATATCTTTTAATTTATTACGATGAATAGCCTCAAATTTTATGGGGAGGCTAAGCCTTCCTTGCCTCCTCTGACGAGCCACCGCTGATGTAAATGTTTTCATTGATCATCTCATCTGCAATCGTTTTCTATAAAAACATTCTTGATACAAACATGGATACAAACAGTAACTTCAAAATAAACATAATTTACAGAATCATTATGTGTGTCTTACCTAAATGACATTATAAAGATGCCGAATTATACCACTATTTTACTGAGAAAAGGATTGAAAAATCTGTGTTAATAATTTACAGCAGAATGCAATTTACAACTGGTTTTTGGGTCTGTCGTTTCATCTGTAGCAGCGGTAGGTCTACTTAACGCCTCCCTGTATACAAATCCACAATCATAAAAATTCAACAATTACTTACAGGCAGATCTACCGATATTTAAAAATTCAGATTTCAGTTTTATATAATGGGGTCAAAACCGAAACCGGTCGTATAAATAAAATCTACCAATGGTATTTAGACAAAGGTGTTTTTATTCATTTCATTCCAGCAGATCATTACAGAAACATCATTACTAAAAATTGTTCCGTCATTCCCTGTCATTATTTTCCGCACCTTACATTACTGACATTATTTTTTCATCATTATTATGTTTCGAGTGGCGTAGAAATCACATAGACTCTGTTTTTATCGATTATCGTTTTTGAGAAAAAAGTATGTCTAGCTATAATATTGCAATAAGTTTTAACCGTTCTGTTAAACATCGTTACTTGATGAAGGAATGGTTATAGTCGAAATAAACGATATTGTGAACATTTAAAGTTGGCGGCACTCTAAAAGGCAAAAAAACCAATACATAGAAATGAACCGGCTGAGAAATAGACGAATAGAACTCGGGAATACGTTGATGGTTATCGCCATCATGTTCAGTTCAGAAACTGATCGTGATTTGAGTGTTGAAATTCGATATTGGTGCAGTTGTACTTACTTAAAAATTTTTGTTATCTGTTCAAAACGTGGTGTACGTGGACAAGTACTAATAGTAATAATGAGTGTGATAACAACGCATACTTTTTCCAGTGTAGTGATTCCAATAGCGATGGTGAACAATGCGAAAAAGAGATATCAGTGAGTAAGATTCGGATGCATTTGAATATTGAAACACAGAGAGTGTGTATCATTGAATATAAGAATCTTCATCTCAAGTTTGGTTTCGAGAGAAACAAACTATTACAAGCAACATCAGATTTGACCGACATTCCTTTCTCAACTGTACGTAAAATAGTCAAAAACAAACCTTATGAGCGCAAGACGCGATGTGATACAGGATTACCAAAACCTTTAGATTTTCATCTAATAAAATCATTGAAAAAACAATATACGACTGTTACAAAAGCAATGAGATTCCTGCAACTGAAATCATAAGGAAGAAATGGAATACTTCCGGCCATAACGTGAGCTGCTGAAACAAAACTCTTCAGAATTGGATAAAGAAACCAGGATTTAGATTTAAAATAATAAACAAACGTCAAGCGATTATAGAAAGCAGAAGAATAGTGGAATTGCGTAACAAACACATGGCAGCTAATATTTTCGAGGAATGGTTTGAAAATACATTGATCCCAAATTTGGATGTGAATAGAGCAGTGTTTTCCCAAACTTTTCAAATTCATGACTTCCTTATGTTTTTTGAAGGTTATCGTGACTACACAAGATATTTAATTAATAAAAGTAGGTAGGTGGCTGTCTGAACGGATTGCATTTTGCAATTACCGATATTATCAGAGGATTTTTATTAATAGATACCGACGTAATACCTTTACTCTCAGTTATCTATGTTGTAAAACATTGTACCTTGAGACTCATCCGTGGTCCACGGCGCCCCAGTAAAGGTTCCACGGCGCCCCAAGGCGCCGCGGCGCACACTTTGAGAAACACTGGAATAGTGTAATAGTTCTTGACAACGCTTCCTATCATTTGCGACAGCTCATCAAAGTACCGAATCAAAATTCGAGGAAAGATGAAATTTTTTAATGGATAACAATTTGTGTTTTGAAGATTACTATACCAAAAACCAACTACTTGAAGTTTTACAGAGAAAAATTTGAAAGAGAGTATGCCCTTGAGAGTATTGCTGAAAAGTATGAACACACCTTACTGAGATTTCCCCCATATTCTTGGAGAAAAGTGAAACAAAGCATAAGGCGTAAAAATATTTTTCCAAAATTTGATAATAAGGTAATAGAGCTAATTGGAGAAGAAGTATCTAATATTACCGAAGAAGACTGGCAGAAAAAGATTAAAAAAGTAATTTTAGACGCTTACAGATAATTAAATAGAAATTATAAAGCTTCAAATCCATTTTGTGACTTACATTTAATATTAAATTGTTATTGTGATTTTTATAAAATCAGAAATGATTATTGAATAACGAAATTAGTTAGCTGCCTAACTATATTATTAAAGGGGAGCTGTTGGAAGGTAAGTTGCACAATATCGTTTACTTGAACTATAACAAAACGAAGATCATTCACATTTAGTGTTACTGAAGGAAATAAGTGATACGAAGGAAGTGAATGATTATAAAAATTATTTTCGTATGGATAGATATATAGATAGATAGATTTATTGAAGCTTTCAATTTAAACAATTGATAAAACTCTAGTCATAAAAATGATTACATTAACAATACAAATGTCAGTTAATATTAATTTAAATAAAAGCACGTGGTATAGGTAAACACAATAAGTATATTAAAATGACAGGAACAAATAAGTAAATATCACAGATAAAGATTGATGAGTAGAATGTGATACTGAAGTTACTAGGAAGCTTAAATTTGATACAGACTGAAAATGGTTATTTGTCCATGAATTCTTGTAATAAATATGGCTCAATGTCACACAACAGATCGAAAACACGTTATTTCAAAATTTGTTTTGTCCGATCTTTTTTGATAATCAAGGGTAAATGGTTGTTGAATGTAATTGATGCGTAATGAGGACATTTTCAATAAATGATTTCGAATGGTCCAACCAATTCTACCACGAAAAAATACGGTTATGAGAAACAGTTTACCAGTTAATAAAAGATTGACTTTAACTTTTCCTAGCCACGGGAAGAAGTTTTGAGGCATCGTCTTCAATTAGTACAGATATTCTTGAAATCTGATGCGAAGTGAAGTACTGAACTGAGTAATGACGAAATAATGATGCCCTGGCTTTACACGATCATTATTATTGACAGTATCCCCTCCCTTGCTAAGAATGATGCTCGAATATCAAAATATTCGGATACGCTTCGTTACCTCTTCAATACTCGCGATAATTCCAGTTGTACCTTTACACCTTTATTATTAATTTGATTATTTTCGGGTGATGACATTATTACTGAACGTGTAAGGTACTTATTAGGATGCATGAAGTTCAGTTGTTAACTTTCGTATTCCGCATCCTTCTCACTAGCACCATGAATGACTGAATTGAAGACAGTCATTGTGCTTGGTGGCTCCGATAGCATAGTTGGTTGCTAGCGAACAGGAGAGCCGGGTTCGAATCCTGGTCGAGTTACAGTTTTCCAATTAGGTTTTTGTTAATTTATGTCTGAATACGCAAATTCACTCTCTCATGGTAAGAATTGATTTTATGTTTTAGTTGACAGCACCATGTGAAGAAATGTTAAGTGATTGCAAGTGGGCTGGAGAAAAATATAACTGTAGCGACTTATTTGCGTCCAGAATGACCTACGATGGTATATGTTGCGTGTTCAATTACGTGAAGCCTCTCAAAGAAACTTCTGAACAGAAGTGAGTATATTATTTATACTAAGAAGTATAGTGTAAATTTCCCAACCCCAGATATTGAAACACTTTTTTCTACTAGACTTCTTGCTGAACAATTTCTTGTGTATAATGAATGAGGTATATTTTTTAAGAGAGATTAATTTCAAAAAAAAAAAGGCTTTTTAAATTTTTTATTTCTCCACCTTTATATAAAAAAAATGTAAAACTTCCGATGGAAGAAAGCAATCGAAATCAAAATAAACTTTCAGAAAGATGTGTAGATCATGCGTAGAAGTTACTCATAGATACAAACTGGAAGAAAAAGCCCCAAACAACTACTCTCATATTAACATTGAATTATACGAAAGACAAAGTACTTTCGATAGAACTATTTTCATATGAACATTTAAGTAGGTATACGAAAATTGTCTTTTCCTAACGAGTTCATACTCCAAACATTCATGGAATTGGATAAAATATCATTCATAGGGACACTAAACAATATTATATAGAGTTACGATATAAAATTTCACTCATACCATCTATGACCCCTGATGGCAAATTCACTGGATGGGGCCCCAAGAAAAATTGTCACATTGTAATTTAATTTTGATAAACCACCGAGATAGTTACCCAACAATAAATTAGATATTTAAGTCCATTTCACTTAAATATCTAATTTTCAAAAGCATAGGTATTACATATTTATAATGAAATAATAGTTTGATGTTAACAAGATATTTATTAAAAACATTATTTTTTCCGAGCTTATTGTTCTTCAATATTATCAATAACATCATCAAAGTTTGAAGACGGGCTATAGAATTTTCAATAGACCGAATAGCCAAGTTATATAGACTGTTTTGTTCCATGAAGTTTCTGAAATAGGTTTTTATTAATTTTAGTTCCGAAAATGATCTTTCAGCACTAGATGTAGTCACAGGTATTATAACAAATGACGTTATTGCAGTTCATACTTCTGGAAAGCTCCATGACATAAAACGATTTTTTATTATTAATAAATCAGCAAGTTCTTCAATACACGTTGACATTTCTTTTTCATCTCTGAATAAGGTGGACCGAAAATTTAGAATTTCCCCGGCAAATGATTCAGATATTTCTTTTTTATATAAATATTTCAACAAACAAACAAACACTAGTGCTTTATTTAATATATCCGTATCATTTTAATTTTGCATTCATTGGAAAGTAACGCGGTTTCAGTTGAACACTTCGAACAAACTTTCCGGATCTTGAAGACGCTCATCTTGGCAAAGTTCGTCAAAATGGCGTTTCACCTTCCTATGATGAGTTTTAGAAAACTCAGGGTTGATGCGGACCAATTTTCTGTATCAATATTAACCTCCTTTTTTAAGTTTTCAAATTCACGTCGATACCTTTGCAATTGTTCCAAACAGTAACATAATGAAATTGTAGTTCTCAATCTTCTTCATAAGAGAAATAGCTTCATTTCTTTCATCAGATTTGCAATTTGAAATAATCGTTTTCGTAAGCGCTTTCTGGACTTCAACAAACCAAACTTTCAAAGTAAAAATAGCATCATAACGTCCTGCCCATCTATAGTAGGGTTCAAAGTTTTTAATGTTTTCGTAGTTGAAGACTCCCTTTCTTTATAAGATAATAAACTATATTGGATATTACATCTTTTGATACTATGGCAAAAAAATTATGAACTTGTTGAACCGTTTCTAAAAAATGTTGCATATCAATAACGTCTTCTGCTGCATCATAAAGAACTCCATTTGAGTTTTGAGCAGCACATTTTTCTTCCTTGATCATGGACTCTTGCTCTTCATCTAGTGTTCCATGTAACCGTCATTGTTGATACGTAACACAAGATTCTAGGTAAATTTTCAATGTCTCGTGTCTTTCTATGGCGTCTACAATATGATTCCAGTCGTCATAGCCTTCTATCCGAACCTCTTGAATTTTTTCAGATGCCTAATTTGCGAATAACCAACATGGTTCACAATTCGCCTTTTGAAGTATTGAGGATTAGGATAGCCATGTACATTCAAGTTTCACACCAGACTGAAAACAATATAGTATGTAATTATTATCTAGGAAAGATCTATTATCACTGTCTTTTTGAAAAGGTACTGTTTCACTTGATCATTTAGTTCATTAAAATTACCCTTATCAGTAATATATGGTGAAGATGCAATATTGTTTACACTAAAATATGATTCATTTTGATTTTTACTAGTTGTTGTGGTTGTTTTGGATATACACTGGTATCGGGTGCTGCATCTGCCATTCTGTTACATTTAGTTTAGTCCAATTCTTCACTTTCAGAGCACTACTAACTTATTTTTTCATCAATAAACTCATCATTCTGAAAATACTGACCAATACTAGGTAACTGTTTATTTTTTCATCAGACTTCCTTTTTCTCTTGAACTACACATGTTGATATCTAACTCCTCACAATTAAATTTAGATACTTTGCTTTTATTTGCTGCTTCAATAAAAATAGAACTACAAAAAATCAAAGACACAAATGACCCATTTTCACAACAATCAAACTTATCATACTTGAAAAATACAAATCTGGGATTCCGCCTTTTTTTATGAATACGTTTAAATCTTAAATATTCATTTGAATATGGTATTTGGTTGTGCCTAACTATAATTGATTTTAAGTACCTACTTCACTTTTTGTTAAAAATGTTAGGTCAGATTTTATTTTCAGTATATTCTGGCATTAAAAAACGTGTCTTAATTAGTGTTTCACAAAAAGCAAAGCAAGCCCATAACTTGAATTTCAGGAGTATTTTTACAGATGTTGCATTTTAGGCGAGATTCAGTACCACCGCCCCTGGAACCCCAGAGGCCTCTCGGTTCTGGTATTGAATATGGTCTGACAGTGGAACTGCACAACAATATTGAAGACTACTTTCTCAGTACATTTGAAACTACAGGATACTCAGTGAAAATCTTCAACCCGCAAGATTTTCCTGACAAAATAAGTGGTTCTTTGTCAGATATAATTGTTAATTTTGGAATAGAAGTTCTGTTAAGCATCGATGTGGAAGTTGTGAAATCATCAGATTTCATGAAGATTTTGCCCTATAATATGGTAAAGTAAAAGTTTCCATTCAATAAAAATTATTGCTAGGTTCAAATGAATCTATGTTAGATGTATATGTGAACAATCAAATCACGAATATTTGCTTGCAGTGTACTCGTATTACGGAATTAAATCATCCTTTTAGGGAAGATAAATGCTAGTAGTTCGGTAGGGACAAACACTGTCTAATCCTCATATGAACATATGATAAAGTACAATTAAAAAAGAATGTTTTTAACAGAAGAAGATGTTCTTGGAGCAAAACTAAAATTTGCAACTGTAAAGGATAACAATGTTGTAACATTAAAACATTGGCTTGCATGCCGTAATTTAAAAGTAACTGGAAAAAAGTGAATCAATAGACAGGTTAGTATACAGACTCTAATAAAAGAGTAGCGGTAGAAACTGTAATTAAAGATATTCAAAATAATTTTGAATTTCAGATTTATTTCCGAGTGAAATATGAATCAAATATAGATGGTAATGAAATATATTTAATTAAATATAAACAGATTTATATTTTTAAATAATAAATTAATATTACGTAAATAACACTGTTTTACATGTGAATAGTTTATTGTTTGCCCCTACTACTATGCTGCCTCTCGTCACACGTTTGCTGTACTATTCTCAGGAAAAAGGCTCATTGCTAGTTTGAAAGCTTGGCTACTTTACATATATCAAAGGATCTATTTCAGACGTCTCTCCATAAGAAAGTGCGCTCGAATATTAAAAATCTGACGTAAAGGTGCTATTAATAATAAATGACATAACGCTTATAGAGTGTGAAAATGGATAGTTTTTTTATGCGAATGGTCCCCAATAGATTATATTTAGGTGTATGATTTCATATCAAAATCATCTTCAATGTCACATTGTAATGCAAATCTATCTGTTCTCTATTGAAAACGATTTCCCAACACCAAAACAAAAATTACTGTCCCGACGGGCGTTTCGCTAAACAAGTTAGCGTCCTCATGAGATCATCGTGACTAAATTTCACTACTATGTTGTTGTTTATATATACTAGTGGCCTAACTACTACATGTTAGTATCACCTAACTACACCGGTTAGTATCATCATATATCTACTACTTGTTATTGATTCTATGATGAACTACCTGATTTTGATACCTCTAATTTGTTATGAAAAGCCGCGAAACAATATAACATACCATTTATACTACTTTGAGAGATCCACTGAAAAATGAAAACATGAGCAATCCAAGACTAGGTCGCAATCCCGTTTTCACCCAAGAGCGAGAAACTGAAATTGCTGGGTTCGTTATGATGGCCTGGCTATAATTCCAGGGAATACATCTCCTTTGGCAGGTCCATCAAATAAGGATAAGGATGTTTTGACAGTTGCTTGTAACCAACAACTTGTTGATATGCAAAGAACTCCGGTATCCTTTGCTGCTATATCAACGACACGAACTATTGCACCATCTTCTAAGCCAGGTCAAAGAAAGCAAAAACAACATGCTACCATATTAACTGCGACTCCTATGAAAATTATGTTAGAGGATAAAGAAAAGAAAAAATTGCGAAACTCAATAAGATTGGAAAAGATGATAAATCAAGACTAAAAAAAGATGGCAAAGAAAAGAACAAACATTTGAAAGAAAAATCTTGCAAGAGAAAAATTTTACAAGAAAGTTCTTCAGATAATGAAGATGAAGTGCACCTTTGCGACGTTGACAGTGATGACGAAATTAATGTGGGTGATGAAATTTATAACAAATGTCTCATTTGCGAAGAATTTGGAAAAATTAACGAGTTGTGATATCGCTGCAGGATGGGATTTGCCAGATGGATACATCTGTGATTTATGTGTCCAAAAATAAAATATAAGGTTGATCTCATTACCCCATACCCTGAGCGGTATTACCCAAACTCAGGGGTAATGCCGTTCAAAAATGTATTTTTTTAAATGTTTTTTTACTACTAGTAAGTAGGTCAAAGATATATGCTTTTGTTGTTGAATTGTTGATTACCTGATATCTGAAGACTTTGTTACTCTTCTTAATTTTGATTTATAATAAATAATTTAAAAAATACGCCATGTTTTCCTTAAGTGACCGCCATTCCCCCTCCCTACCCTAATACTTACAGGTAGTAGTAAGACTACTAGGGTATAAAAACACTAACGTAGTAATAAAATTCAGTCATAATGATCTCCTGAGGACGCTAACTTGGTTAGCGAGATGCGTGCTGGTGTTGGCAAAGTGTTTTCAATAGATTCTGTTGAAATCAACTCGACACCTTTAAAGGTGTGATTCCTAACACAGGTTGGCCGATACGAAGTGAAAATCGATCGTCCGGCTCTGAGGTTCGAACCACCGGTTCACACAACGCTCGATTGAGTGAGTGAAGCAAAGCCCCCACTTCAACCCATAGCTAATGCTGTTTATTACTGTGATCTGACATGAGTATGTTAAAAATAGTTTCTCTTATATCAGTAGAAGGGTGCCGTTTTCAAGTATGCATACATTATTTTCACATCACAGCTACCCGCTCGTTCAATACACATTTGTTTTCCAAACGGAAGTGAAAATCAATTTTACAGTGCAATACATGGAATATTAATTCAATATCTCAACGAAATGATTGGATCAATATTCAGCTAGACCGCATCTGAGGCATTGATGAACCAAAGAGTGACTTTGCGACTTGTGGACTGAAATGGAATGACTTTATACTGAGTTATTGGACTCTCAAGAGTCAAAGGCAACAAAAATGCTGAGTGTGCTGGACAAATCACAAGCTCCATATAATAACCCTGACCCGGCAGTGGGAATACCTAAATATGTCGTACAAGACCACATCAGGAATTGGGTCAGTAATAAATATAAATAGTACTTGAAAAATACATGCACGGTTCAGTTTGTTTGAAACATATGACCTGAGTATTATTTTATTCATACCCACATATATCCGCTGCAAAAAGAGGCTTCAAAGCGTCAACAAACGCTCAGCAATCCTGGATCGAGGAGGCGATGGCTTTTGGTTTCCAGGTTACCTCAGACTGTCAAAAGTATTTTTGAGTATTTTTGTACTGTCGAAAACAGACTCTTGAAATCTGCCGATGTATTTTACGGTATAATTTCTTTATAAAACATTAATTATAAGAGATATCATGTGAATGGTGGAGAACTACTTCGTGATAGTTTGAATTGAAAGGAGTATATTTTTAAGAGATATTAATTTTTGGGAAACTTATACATGTTTGTGTTATCTGATATTAAGTATACGCGCTTGCTTTCAAGGAAAATTACATATTAAGATTTCATTCCGAATAGATTAATTCGGTTTCCAAAACAATAAACATAATCTGATAAAAATGCGAACAAAAATGAAGTAAAGCATATTCTGTCTAGTTTTTCTAGCCATTTTGACACTGACATTTTCCAAAAACCATTTACAAAATTTACTTTTTTCAACTCTAAACATGGTGTAGTACTCATAGTATAACTTGGCAACGGCCAAGCATACTTTTTTTCTTCCGTTGAATGCCTTCCTATTTTTCAACTGAAAATTATTGTGGAGGAGTCACTATTTCTTGCTGTTCATTTTTCAAATTGTGGAAGAATAAATACCCAAAAAAACAGTAAGAAATTATTTTGGATATGCCCTAAAATGAGACATTAGACAGCTATTTTATTAGTTCCTTATCTCTCATGACAAATTTGTTGAAACTGGCTTATCTGATTTCGAAATACACTTTGAGGCGCCTCAAATATTCTTAGTCGCTGACGTTTCCAATTTTCTAACTGCAACTCGTAATTTTCAGAGATCGTGCATATTTGAGGATGAAGAAAAGACGTCATTTGGGAGTTACAGGCACAGTGATTGTATGGTAGAGTGTAAACTGCGAATTATGAAAGATATGTGCAATTGCATACCAATTACTTCCTCAACAAATTATGACATGGAAGGAATCGGTGATGTAAATTTTTGTACGCTCATTGATCTACCTTGTCTCAATAAATATAGAAGTAAGATTTTATTATTTCAAATCAAATATAGGTACACTGAAAGAGTCACTTAAACTTATGAATGTCTAATTACAAACGAGTGAAGTACAAATGACTTGAAATATTAACTTTTTGTTACTTCACTAAATAAAAACCATATGTTAGACTACACGTGAATGCAAACATGAATCAATATTTTGACACACAATAAGAGCAATGAACATAAATTATGAGCTAACGGAAAAAATTTCAAGTGTTGATATGGGAACAATTTTTTAAATACATGCCATCCATGACAAATGAAATACTTGTATAACTAAGTTACATAAAAGCGCATCGCACAAATTGAAATTCTTACAGTATACTGAAAACGATTCAGTATTCAAATAGTAGGTATATCTAGTTTTACCAGTGACTTTATATGTGTGTACGTTCTTCAAATAGATGAATTATGTTTTGTTCATTGATGATTTGACAGTGAAGAAACGACTTTAAACATTCGTTTCATTTCTTTCTCTGGCAGTTCTGCCTTGTATTAGCTACGTTTCCGATTTTCTACTCAGTACATAATGTAAATAAAACTCAGATATTTGGAAATGGGTATAGAATACTCTCGGTATATGTTTCTCACAATATTATCATTTTCTCATTGAATTATATTGTACCTATCACTTGTATCGATAGGTATACCTGTCTTACAGAGAGGCTCTTCTATGGAAAGGTTACTACAGTCGTTGAAGTGGGAATCTTGCACCTTGAACATCCGATAACTTCAATATCGACCGATCAATTGGTATATTGGTTAATATAATTATGACTATAGTGGGGGATATTCCAGAAGATATGATCCACAAATAAAATTCCAGAGCTGCACTTGCCGGTCTGGATGATTACAAGTTACCTAAAATATTCAGTGGAGTATCTCCTGACTGTTGGCTGCAGCCATCGGAGGGGGCCTCCCTAAAATGCGTCACAAGAGACCTACTTGTCAAGCCCTGGTACCAGAGCACATAAGTGCCTATCTTGCCGCGATCTTGATAAGATTTTGAGTCTTTGGCAGTCTCACTCTTGCCAGCTGACCTGAAATATCACTCTTCAAATGAATAATCGGTTTCGTTGAGAAGCTGGATTTATTTTTTTTTTTTTTTTTTTAGTTTGAATAGGTGTGACCGCACAATGTATACTCGCAGGTCGAATAAACACACTCACTTTGAACCTACCCTACTACCTTCTTTTTCTTCTTCTTCCATTCAGCCTAATAAAATAATAAATATCATCATATGTGGTCGTTACAATACTATAGTCCGTTCATAATTTGTTGATAGCTCACTGCAAGTTTAACCCTCATTAGAGAACTGAAATACAGAGAGGACAGCTAATATGATATAATAACAAAAACCAAACTAAAACTGGCAGTTTAAGATGTTTTCGACTAACCCACCTTGTATCTGAAGAAATACAATACAGCTATAAAACTTTTAATCCGATTATGTAGGTATTTTGAGTGGAAATGAGTGACCAGNCCATCGCAAGCAATCAAACAAAACAAGCAGGAACGAAAGGTACGTATATGTTAGTAGGAATATGAAAAAAAGTTACTCACGCACTGCACAAAATTCGCAAAATAAATATTAGAGACGTTAATTACTGCCGTAGACGCCGAAACATCAACGAGCCGTAAATTAATTGCGATTAAAAAATGTACTAAACCAAAAATTATTTTCGTTCGTAACAACTTCAAGGCAAGTTTCGAGTATAAACTGAAACTTTATATTTAATGAATAAACACCTCAGGAACCTCCGCCTATGATTTTACGAGTTTTACGACCGTTTTATGACTTGGGCCCTCATTTTGTGCTATCGACAAATTATGAACGGACTATAGGTTACTGAATCCATAATTGATGGTAATAATTAAGGATTTTTTCACGACTTTATTTGAAACAATAAATTTCGTTATTCATTCGTTCAGTATAATTGTTTGGTGAGTGTCAAGATTGAAAGAATGTTGTATCAGAATTTTTAAACTATCTGATGATAACGTTCTAGACTTTTCTGAGTATGTTAAGCTATGCTCACAAAATACATGTATGAACTCTTTCAGTAATTATAAACTTGTTTTTCAGCCAAATGGTTAAAATATTTCCCAATTGGAGTTTCGTCATCCAATCTAGAAAATGAGAAATATGATTCCATGAAATGTACAAAATGTTATCCATCCTGTAATAACATCATTTACAAAGTTTCTTCTAACACTGCTCCATTGTTTCACCATCGGTAAGAATAGTGTGTCTGAAACAGTGTTTGAAACATAAGTTGGTGTATCTGAAAACATATTTTGAATACATTACTTTCTACTTTTCTATTACGAAACTGAAATCCAATCACCCGAAGACGATTGTGGATACTAACAATCGAAACGTCGTGACGTAACTTGGTTTGGAATCTTTTAATTTTTATTTTTCATTTTTGTTAATAATATTTTTAAATTTTCAGCTTTTACTATTATTTGAATTTTTTATTTTCTGGTTGTAGCTTGTATGTTATTTATACTGATGGCTTTCAAAAATAGCAAAATAAGTGGGGTTGGCTACTTGAAAGTTTAGGAGTAGGTATCCTTGGCGTGAGAGGGTAAGCTCCAAGTATTACTTCATTAGTTGTCCCTGAGACATTTACGTGTTTCGTAAAATGTTCATGGTGTCATCAGTTGAAAAAGTATTAAATGCTGTTCGTTTTCAAATTGTCACTCTGTATACTAGATAATCAACACTCGTTCTATTTTTTCAGTTACAAGAACAGACACTCATATTTGAATGTTTTTTTCAATAAACCGTTTGTTGCCTCATACCAGATGGACGTATCAGAAACGTGGTATGATATGATAGGTATGTGAGACTTTGCAGAACTACCGGTTTCCTATGAACTATTTATATGTTTTTAGCTAATATAGGAGGCTTCCTATCACTATTCATGGGGATAAGTGTCATTACTGCGATGGAGATAATAATACTCATTTATAAATTGGCATGTTATTGCATTTTTAGAATAAATGCAGTATATTTCCAATAAGCACCACAACAGCGATTTGGAATTCATTAATACCTATCTGCATTATGTGTAACTCCTTTTTTACCGAATGAGCCGTATTCGGCTACGCCTTCGCCATTTGAACGATTTTCTGACAGTCAAATGTAGTCGCACAGATGAGACTTGTAAAGTTTTGCGCGAATCTACCCTCGATAATCAGTTGGGTAAATATTTTGAACTGTTCTAGAATCGTGCGAACTGCGAACCAAATACGCCTTTTATAGTTAGCCATTTCAATATGTCTGGAATGGAATTTTGCGTAGTATACTAGTACATGTTGAAAGACAAATTTGAATTATATGTTGAAACTGAAAATGTCACTTCCGAAATAAAAATAGATATCACTATGTTACTTATTCTTAATTCCAGCTTCTTCAGGTTCTAGCTTAGGCTAAGTATTCAAAAATCTGGTTTTCCATTAGTCTCCCCACGAATGACAACATTCAGAAGTCGAAACCTGTGCGAGCTAAGCTAGGTTCTAACAGTATATTTTCATTTTAGATTATCGATTTCTCAAATGTTTAATAGTATAAATTGATGGATATAGCCGTCATATTTCTTTATCTACTAGAAAAGAAACTTTTAGCTACATATAAATATGATAAAGACAAATTATTATCATTATGAACAATATCTCAAATTTGAAATTGAAGGAAACATGAAAAAAATTAGTTTAACCTTTTTTTCTTCAAATTTTGAAAATAACTTACATTTTTCTAGGCGTTTGACTGTGTCTCTCGCCACAATCTACTAATGAAACTGAATGAATACGGAGTCAGAGGAGTTTCACTTTCCCTTTTTATCTCTTACTTGAACAATCATAAGCAATGCGTTGATCTTGGTGAAAATAGAACTTCGGATTTTTTGCCAATCGAATCTGGAGTACCACAGGGCTCCATTTTGGGATCTCTGTTGTTAATCATTTATATCAATAACTTCTTCCGCCTATTACCATATAAATGCCTAATCTATGCCGATGATACAACTCTTCTGTGTAGTAACCAAAACTGTGAGAAAATTTACAAAAAAAAACAACTGTTCCAAACTCTATCACCACTCTAGGTACTGAATAAATACTCAATTTCTTCCTAAATTTGAAATTTATTGATTTGAAAATTTTCATTCAAAATATGTAAGAGTAATAATTTCCGAAACAAAAATATTATCATCTTTATTACATATGTCAGCAAACATTTTTAACCTTATTACACTATTTATTGAATAAATTTTCAATACTCAAGTATTCATTTTCTGTATATGAATCTATATAGTGTGTAAAAACCAAATGGAATAAATTCATTATTTCGGTTACTGTACATATTTATGAAAAATCCCGAAACATGTCAAATTTAGATTATAATTTGACATACTTAAACGGAAAAATGTTTCCCCTATCTTCAAACCCCGTCGAATGACAGGTACAACCCTCAATTTTTCAAATGGGAAGTATAGGCTTGTGAAATATCGTTTGAAATACGTTTTCATTCTTTATTCAAAAATGTTACCGCTTTCCAGTTCATTGTAACAATCAATATAAAATAAATTGAAAACATATGGTTACCGAACTTCGACAAAATACACCCACAACTTATTGCAATATACTCAAAAATTACTTCAAGTTGAGGTATTGATAATGAGAAAGTGAGCAAAAACCATAGCAGTATAATTTTCAGATGGTATTCTTTAAAGACCTGTGAATAATGTCCGTGGCAACGTTAGTTTTAAATGCCTTGTCAAATTGTTTTGTATGTTACAAAATTAGTTGTCAGTATTTTAATTTAAGAATAAAGTTCGTTTACTTCAAGTCTGGCAAATGGTTAGATTAAAGGGATTGCATAAAATAACAGTTTTACAAATGATTGGTTATTGACATAAAACCCGAACACAACAGGAAGTAGCTCGCCTATTTGATAAGAAATTTCCTAATTTACCGCCCATTTCAAGGAACAATGAGCAAAATAGAGAAGCAGTTTCACGAGTTTGGTCATGAGGAGCGGATAAAAAAACAGCTGCCAATGCAATGAATGATGAACTCAAATTATATGTGATGCTTGAGTTTGTGGAAAACTCACATATACATTCAATGTTAGCCATATATCGATAGTACACATATTAAAAGAAAAAATGTATCCCTATGAAATGATACCTACTTAGGAGCTCATTGAAGACGATTTTGATAGAAGAACTTATTTTTGTGAGCAAGTGATGTACATGTTGAATAACAATATCATCCAATCAGAAGACGTTATGTTGTCTGATGAGTGTACTTTTTCTCTTAATGGTCATGCTAATCGGCAAAATTGCCGCTACTGGTCAACGGAAAATCATCACTGAATGGGAACACACGCAATACCCTCAAAAGGTTCATGTTTGGGCAGAAATTGTAGAAAACCATATCGTTGGTCCCTTTTTCATTGAGGGCAACTTGAAGGGCGATAATCATTTGAAACTCAAAATGATGTCATTCCAAGTTTAGCCAATTTATATCCTGATCCAGGAAACCCTCTAGTTCCAGTGAATACGATATGGTTTTAGTAGGATGGAGCAGGGAGGCGAGGATCGATTGAATGGCCAGCGCGATCACCTGATCTTTCATCATTAGATTTTTTCAAGGGGATATGTGAAGGGCAATGTGTACAAAACTATACCTTCAGATTTTAATGACTCAATAGAACGAATAACGCTTGCGATTAGGTCGGTCATATGTTGAATAATGTTAGAAGACAGTTTTATTTGAGATTAGGATGTTGCCAAGACGTTTGCGGTTAACTTAGTTAACATCCATAATTATTTTTCGTATTCTATATCCATTTACGTTTTGCATTGCATTTAGTTTTAGAGTGCATTTTATCGAATTTCGGTAACCACATGATTTCAATTTATTTTATCTTAATTGTTGCATGAACTTAAAAGCGATAATATCAAAAAATTGGGGGTTGTACCTATCTTTCGAAGGGGGTTGAAGGTAGGGGTGATATTTTAAAGTAGTCAAATTATAATTTACATTCGACGTCTTCCGGGATTTTTTTTAATATGTAGGTACTGTAACCGTAACAATGAATTTATTCCATTTGGCTTTCACACACTGTATATATTTCACATAATATTAAAGAATACAAATTTATTTTCGATAATATTTTTGTTACTCATGTGTATAATAAATTATTCAATTTTTTTACATAAGAATGAATAAGATAAATAATTCATTACATTCGTATAAATCATTTCTTGCAATAAAAACATTTTACTGTTAGGTACTGTCATCGTAGAGTAAAACATAAAATGATATACAGTATATACAAACCATCATGAAATCGACATGACTCCTTGCCTTCCCACACTTTATACAGCGTGACTCACGGTCGATGGTAGGTTACACGTTTCTGGAAAACGCAAAGCATGATTATTCTGAAAATTTCACCTCTCACATTTCCTTACCTGTTCTATCGATCTAAAATATTTTCATACATTTTTGAAATTGCTCTGGTATTTTAATACTTTTTTTATTGATAATGTCCTATACCTAGCTCTATCTGTTTTCGAGATAAAAGCTAAATTGTGCTAAATATGGTCCAAAACATAGCCTCAATTGAAATTAAGTACATCAGTACTCTCAATTCATGAAAAGTTGATATTTTGATGATGTTTTGGACAATTAACACCAAGAAATCGACTCCATATCATACAGGGCGTGCTAAATTACTATTATTTCCATTGTGCATAAAAGTAGTCAAAAGTTCATTTTTTCAAATGAAACCCCCTGTATATTACTCGGTAATTTGAAAGATGGGGAAAAATGCTTCAAGATGATATATTATGTCCCTATACCTAAATCGTCAAGTTTTCTCAATAAAGTCGCTTCTTCTAGAAACATAATCTTACTTTTTACCTAGAAATGACTGATTTTTGGTACAGTTGTTCCCTGGAAACTTTGAAAGGAAATTATTTTGTAGTCTCACAAGCTTCCTCTCGTTCATTGGTGGTAATTCAGGATACATTTGGTTGAATTTTCTACACGTTCTGACAATGATTTGATCACTTTGTTCATGTGTATAATAAATAATTTCATAAGAACTTCGTTTGAATAATCAATATTTGCATTCATTTTGGAAGATGATTCGAAACAAGGTCGATAACTCTTTGTAAATAACTTATAAAAGTAACCGAACTGCTATAAGCTTGATAATTCCACTGCTTCTAGAAGAAGCGACTTTATTGACAAAACTTGACGATTAAGGTATAGGGACATGATATATCATCTTGAAGCATTTTTCACCATCTTTCAATTCACCTAGTAATATACATGGGGTTTCATTTGAAAAAAATGAACTTTTGACTACTTTTATGCACAATGGAAATAATAGTAATTTAGCACGCCCTGTATGATATGGAGTCGATTTCTTGGTGTTAATTGTCCAAAACATCATCAAAATATCAACTTTTCATGAATTGAGAGTACTGATGTACTTAATTTCAATTAAGGCTATGTTTTGGACCATATTTAGCACAATTTATTTTTTATCTCGAAAACAGATAGAGATAGGTATAGGTAGGACATTATTAACAAAAAAGTATTGAAATACCAGAGCGATTCCAAAAATGTATTAATAATAAATACATATAAAAAGTTATCAGCTCGACCGAATGCTTATTTAGGAATACTTTTACAAATCTAAATGATAATTTTACCGTGAATATATCACAGTCACCACCACCAATTCAAACAAATAAATTAAAATATATACTTAGGCTTCATTATAATTAAGATATCAGTAACTAAATACTGAAAGGTACATTATTCATAAGTTAAACGATCAGGTGGTTTAATTAATCGTTTGGGTCTACCAACTGGAATACATATATTTTCATTACTTCCAACAGATGAAGTACAGGGTTGGTCGTTGATAGGTAATTCAAGCGAATCTTGGATATCCCTATTCTCAGCAGAGATTTCTTTGTCAGGCCAATTAGTCTGAACTTTGGTTTTTCGCATCTGATTAGTATGTCGTTTCCATGTTTTATTAATATCTACTACTTTAACAATATACGTGCATCTACCTATGATTTTTTCCACTACTGCTGGTATCCACGTGAATTTATTTAATTCTCTGTAATCTTTTACTAGAACTTTCTCCCCTACTTCAAATTTTTTATCTTCTCTACCTCCGAAATAGGTGGTCTGTTTTTCTTGATTTTTAATTACCTTCTTTTTTATTTCCTGCAAGTCAGGTTTTAAATTATTAAAACGAGTTCGTATGTCGCGGCCAAACATCAGAGTAGCAGGTGAAACACCAGTAGTAACATGTTTAGCATTACGATAATCGAATAAAAACGAGTTCAATGAGGTATTAATATCTATTTTTTTACTTCGGCCTAAAGCATTTTTCAAGGCATTTTTAATATTTTTTACAGCATTTTCTGCTGCTCCATTCGATTGTGCAAAGTAAGGGGCAGTCGTGATATGATTTATTTCAAATTTTTTTAAAAATTGTTGGAATTCAAAACTTGTAAAATTTGAGGCGTTATCGGAAACAATAGTTTTAGGTAAACCGTATCTTGCAAAAGTAGACTGTAATGCAGCTGTAGTAAAATTAGAATTAATAGTGGTAGTTGGAAAAACTTCCAACCATTTTGAATGAGCATCCAAAATGACAAAAAAATATTTATTCAGAAATGGTCCCATATAATCAATATGAAGTCGAGCAAAAACTTCTTCTGGCCAGTTCCAAGGATTCAGTTTAGTTTTCGCAGGACTCATTTTATTTACTGAACATTTATCACATCTTTTTGCAAAGTCCTCTATGTCCTTATTGATTCCAGGCCAAAAAAAATACGATCTTGCGATATTTTTCATTTTAATAATTCCTAAATGAGACATATGTAACTGATTCAATAATCTATTTCTTAATTTTTCTGGTATGATAAATCTATTATTCCAAAGCAACACATCATGTTCAATTGTAAGTTCGTGTCGAATGACATAAAATCTTTTAAGTTCATTATCACTTTTTGAGTATCTAGGCCATTCAGTTTTCACGAATCTCTTAACATTTTGAAGAACAGTATCTTCATCTGTAAACTTTTTAATCATCTCAAAATTTGTAAAAATGGCAATGGCCTAGCCCTCACAAACTTTGGTGTAACATTATCATTTTTTAATGTCAAAGTCACGGTACCTTTATTAAAAGTACCAAGACCCGGAGAGAAAACCCTTTTAAATTTTTTCATTAAATAATTTATATCATTTGAATCGGTTGCAAAATTAACTTGATTTATACCAAAGGAATATAATGACATAAAATCTCTACCAAGAATAGGAGGACCACCATTTTTAATAACGAAAACATTTAGTAATTTTGCAATACCATTATATATAATATTAATCTTGCACATACCTAGAGCTTGCATTTTTTCGCCTGTATAAACATTTAAATTTTTATCAGGAGGTAATAGTTCATACGTTGAAAAATTGCTTTGCCAAAATGATTCTGATATGGCTGAAATACTAGCTCCGGTATCTAACTGAAATTTATAAATATTATTATCAATCAAAATTTCAACAATGAATGGATCATTTTCAATTTTTTTACTAGTTATCGAAAATAATTCTTCAGTTTCAATAAAATTCTGAACATATTTATTTTTTGACTTTCCCCTTTTACCCTTATCATTTTTTCTTGGACAGACAGGAGCCAAGTGCCCCTTAGAGTTGCATGCATGGCAAACATGGTTCAAAAAACGACACTTTTGGGTAATATGATTACTTCTACCACAACAAGCACATCTTACCCCCAAACTTTCACTATACGATAACTGCCTTGTTGGTGTTGAGCTCGGACGAAAGTTCCTGGAAGCCACGTGATTCACCCCCGGCTCCAATTTTACGGATGATTGATGACTACCAGCATTATTTTCTACCGCCGCCATTTCTGCTACTGCCGTTTCCAATACGTCAGCCAATTTAGACGACGATTTTTCTTTGAACAGTTTAGACTGAATTGACCCCTTATCGAAGCCAATGATAAATCTATCACGTAACATCATATCTACCATTGTTTCATCGAACTCACAATTCAGAGCCGCATTTCGCACTCTTGCTGCCCACTCATTTGCACTTTCGTGTGGATTTTTGAAAGATGAAAAGAATTTTGATCTTGCTACAAACAAGGACTCTGTTGTCTTGAAATATTTGTCAAATAGTTGCGTAAGATCTGTGTATGTCTTATTTTCTGGTAATGTTGGAAGACACAAGTTGTACATCAGTTTATACGCGCCTTCATCGAAAGCATTCAATAATATAGCTTTCTGTTTGTCGTCATCCGTGATTGAGTTCACTGAAAAATAATTATCCAGCCGCCGCTTATAAATACCCCAATCGCTATCTTGAGCACTAAACTCCCGCACTTGACCATAATACGATGGATTCGCCATTTTTCTTTCCACTCGTGGGTTTTACAATTATTTTGAATTGTTACACTCCTCGTCGCCAGTTGTAATATATTTAATAATTCGGGAGGAAAAATACGCAGCTTGGATTTATCCTTTTTATTGTTTCGCCAGAGAATTGGAACTGCCAACAACCTATACTTTTTTACAAAATTCCCTTATCCTAAAAAAGTCATGTATAAAAACTGCTCGACACTTCTTCCTTTAAATACATATAAAAAGTTATCAGCTCGACCGAATGCTTATTTAGGAATACTTTTACAAATCTAAATGATAATTTTACCGTGAATATATCACAGTTACTAAGACTTTTTGATGGAAGTGGCAACGCCGCAATGCTGTCAAAACTTGTTCAATATTATACTCTGTATGGTTTATTTGAGAATCAATAAATACTCTACACTCAGTAGTTGCAAAGTATCTATACATTACCTTCATTAATGTAGCTTAGGATAAATATGTACTGTTGGCAATATAACTTCTGTAAGAAGTTCTACAAATAAATTTGAAACCACAATACATAATAAAGAACCAATTTTGTCAAAATATAGGTATTTATTTGCAATCTGGTTGTTATCAACTGTACATTCGACCACTCAGTGTCTTCAGTTGAGAAATCATCACATGATACATATTTTATAAGAGTAAAATACCATGCAAATTTCTTACCACAAACTTTCATATGTATGTTGATAAGCAATTATATACATGCTCGGTATTTTGAGTAATTATCTAATGAACCTTTTTCCTGAAGTACGAAAAATCACTCACTAGCAGCGCTAGTAGGTCGGTAGGGGCAAACACTGCCTAATCCTCATATGATAAAGTACAATTAAAAAAGAATGTTTTTAACAGATGTTCCTGGAGCAAAACTAAAATTTGCAACTGTAAAGGATAACAATGTTGAGACATGAAAACATTGGCTTGCATGCCGTAATTTAAAAGTAACTGGAAAAAAAAGTGAATCAATAGACTGGTTAGTATACAGACTCTAGTAAAAGAGTAGCGGTAGATTCAAACTGTAATAAAAGAAATTCAAAATAATTATGAATTTCAGATTTATTTCCGAGTGAAATATGAATCAAATATAGATGGTAATGAAATATATTCTAATTAAATATAATCTGTTATCAGCTGTCGCCCCCATACGAACGACAACTCTCAGAAGTTGAGAAACTTGTGCGAGCTAAGGACTAACGAGGTCTTACCTTTTAACGTGTGATTCCTAACATTCCTAATTCAATAAACGATTGAAGATATATCTCATTCTAATCAATGGTAATTAACTATGAAAAATTTACTATTCATTTCATGTTTAAAGCATACGTATGATTTATGATGTACTGTTTGGAACCTTTGGTGTAGTAATGAATATTACTGGAGTTTTTTCCCAACACCAAATCGTTATTTTTACACCTCCACACGTGTTTCGATCACCAACTGATCATTTTCAAGAGGAAGATAAAACTAGAAACTTTTCAAAACTAAAGCTACTTATGCTATTCAGGTACATCATACAGGTAGGTAATCAGTAATACCACCTGTACAAGTGTACCACCCTAAATTAATTTTACAATTGGCTTTTCTATTATTTTACAATGTCCTTATGTATGTTTAAATGTTACAGCTATTTATAGAACAATTTTCAGCATATAAAATTAGTTTCACAATATTGCCTATCTAAATATATTTACAATGTGTCTTTTTGTAGTAATCAGTAAACCCAACAATATTATTTCAACAAGCTATATAGTATACTATTTGGTATTGGTCCGTTATCGTTATTCATAATATTATTATGTTTACTTATTTCTACACTCTCATAGGCATCTAATTGCCTGTTGTTGTTAACTTGTCTAACTAATCTTAAAGAACTGAAGTCTATGGAATGGTTTTGTTGCAAAATATGATGGGCGACTGCTGATTTTTCAGGTCTTCCATATTTTAAGTGTGCTATGTGTTCCTTATATCTCACTGTAATATTAAATTTATATAGCTGAAAATTGTTCTATAAATAGCTGTAACATTTAAACATACATAAGGACATATTGTAAAATAATAGAAAGGCCAATTGTAAAATTAATTTAGGGTGGTACACTTGTACGGCTGGTATTACTGATTACCTACCTGTATGATGTATCTGAATAGCATAAGTAGCTTTAGTTTTGAGTAGTTTCTAGTTTTATCTTCCTCTTGAAGATGATCACTTGATGATCGAAACACGTGTCGAGGTGTAAAAATAACGATTTAGTGTTGGGAAAAAACTCCAGTAATACTCATACGTATGATTATTTATTTATTTTTTGCACTGTTAAATCCACTCTCTGCCTCTCGTCACACGTTTGCTGTACTATTCCTAGGAAAAAGGCTCATTCAGATGAAATTTGATTTATTTTGATCCAAGAGGTGATTCAATATTATTGATGCTAAAAATATTTGAATAACATAAAACTATCTTGCAAAAACAGGTCTCAATATCGAAATCTCAATCGTTTAACTTTTTCAGAGTTTAAAGTCTCAAACTGGTTAATTCACATAAACTAACTGATTTTGATGAAACTTTTCTCATTCACTGTAATGAAGATATTATTGATATCAGCTTGAATATAGTCTCTCATCAATAAATATTTATTGATAGTTATTTAGATGAATAATATACAAACAGTTATTAATTCAGTCTCCGGCCTGAAGAAATAGATGACGAAAAAATAACCTCTTTACTGGTCATACCATCAACTGGATGAACATTTTCCAAACTCATTTCACGACTTAAGATAATTCCGAGTTGTTTTTCTTTTCAGTATTCTATGAAAATATTAATGATTTTCTCATAATGAACCCCCGTTGTGAACCTTCATATGAGTCTTCAGGTGGTGAGATCTTCGAAATGTTTTTCCACATAGGACACAAAGAAATGGTTTCTCTCCAGTATGAATAACACTGTGTTCCTTCAAATTCTTGGGATCTGAAAAGGATTTGGGACAAATACTACATTTTAACGGTCTTTCCCCTGCAATTAAAATTAGAATGTCAATACCATTTTTGAGTACCATTGATTTGGTAGCACAGTAATAGGTACCTGTATGTTTGCGCTTGTGGATATTCAAATAATACAAAGTTGTAAATGATTTGGAGCAATAACTGCACTTGTGAGAATTTTCCGATAAATGGGATTTTAAATGTTTTTTCATTACTGTTGATTGAGAAAAGCATTTGTTACAGAATTTACATGAAAATGGACGTTCACCGGTGTGAATACGTTTATGTGCATTAAGTCGACTACTGGAAATGAACCTAAAAAAACAAAAAATATATGTAATAAACCAAAAGTCAATATTACATATTTATATGAAACAAATGATTGAAAATTCTAAACAAAACTTTCAACTTTGAGTAGCAGAACCTTCTTAGTTCTTCAAATGTTGATGTATCAGAAAACAATGCTTCAATGACTGATAACACGACAGATATTGAATAAACATCTGACAAACGTCTGTGAAAGTTTTCACGCAGATGCCATTCTTGCATTTGCTTCTCCAGCAGCAGGATTTCACTTACTCTAGTGTTCATTCACAAACCTGTATTAAGGCAGTTCAGGTCTGATGACAGACTGATTTTCTTTCGATGTCAAAAAACTTTCAATTGAGGTATTCAAAATTCAAGGAGGATTGGATCAAAAAAGCTTCTGGATTTGATGAAATATTATCTATGAATATAATTGATAATCTTTCTATGGCAGTTTTCCTAACTTTATCAAAACATCTGCAGTTATTCCGCTATGCAAGGGCGGCAATCAAGACGAAGTCTCAAACTTTCATCCAATTTGTCTTATTCCCTCATTAGCCAAACTAATAGAAAAAATTGTAAAAAATCGTTTGACTGATTTCTTAATGTTACATAATATAATAAATTGCAAACAATTTGGATTCCAACCAAAAAAGTGTACGAATGACGCCATATTGTTCCCTCTGAACGAAGTTCATAACAACATTAACAATCGCGATTTAGCTGCAGCGATGTTTTGTGATTCATTCAAAGAATTCGATTGTGTAAATGATGGAATACTGCTTATAAAATTGTATCATTATGGCATTAATGGAATAACTCATAAGTGGTTTGAATCTTACCTCACTGATAGAAGAACATATCTACCAAAGATCTGGCACACAGCATTGAGAAGAGCCAAAATGAAGCCAAGTTAACCAAATCGCGCGGGAAGTACGCGCGAACCCGCCATTACAGAAAGTGGGCGAAAAATCCGCACTGTAAATGACAGCAGAAATGAGAGCTTCAGTTTCAGTTGACACGGCTAGAAGAGTACTTCGACCACGTCACTGCCTTTCGACTGCAACTGCCACAGTTGCAGTCGAAAGGTTTGGAGATTACAACCAAAGAAGACTACGACAAAACCCGGAAACCAACTAAAATATTGAATTTAATAAAACATGTAAATGAATAAATTTAAGTTTTTAATCAGAAAACCATAAGTCAAGCGGATAAAATTAAAGAGACCAGATTTGTTGAGAAAGGAAAGTCTATCAAGAATTTAGGAAGCAATGGAGTGTTTTTTCTTATTAAAACGATTATGTGCAAACCACTCATGGAAGCTACAGGTGAGAATAAAAACGCATGCCGTACAGCAGAAAATGCCTTTGGACTCCAAATCATTTTTTTTCTCAAAATTTCAAGTGTTATTCAAAAGTTGGGACACCTTTAGGACATGTGTTCATACAAAGTTTCATTTCAAAATTGGGCCCAAAACTAACCTCCTTAAACATTGGCATATTATTAAGAAATACCCTGTATAAATTAAAGTCATGTTTTCTGATTTTATATGAAATTAAATTGAAAATTACAAACTCTACATTAACTCATCTGTAGCAAGAAATAAACATTTTAGCATCTTAGATTTGAAATATAGTGATATTCAATGAATAATCATTTCATTTTTACTCTACCTCTTTTCACATGTTTGACAGCCATATGGTTTATCTCCTCTATGCCTTCGGAGATGAAGAGTCAAACCAGATGACTGCCTGAAAGATTTTCCACAAATTGAACACAAGTGGGATAGTCCATTGGTTCTAGAAGGGTTTTTAATTTTATCTATTTTGTGACATTTCCTCATATGTATTGTGAGAGAACCAGACTGAGTAAAGGATTTGTGACACAAAATACAGGAATATGGCTTATCTCCTGTGTGAATTGACATGTGGCGTTTAACATCAGTTGCCCTAAAAATGAATATAAACTATTGAACTTGACAAGTTCTGTAACAGAAATGTATTATAGAGTATTTAGAGACGGTTTGTTATTGTCTAATTTAATTATCTTCTCTATATTGACATACATTTTTCGATCAGTTACCAAGGCATGTTTTTATTTGAAATTAGTTAACAGCAATTGTTTTTGAAAATTGTTGGAGTTCTGAAATAAAAAAGGTAATTTGGTAAAACGAGCCTAATTTGGATTTGCAAACTCTCAATAAGTACCAATGGCTGTGACAATAGTAGAGGTCAATAGTGAATTGGGGTTAAGTGGTAGTACACCCGACTTACAATCCAAAGATCATGGGTTAGAACCTAACTTCGACTATTGAAACTATTGAACTTGATGAGTTCTGAAACAGAAATTTATTATAGAGTAGTTGGAAATGGTTTCTTGTTGTCTAATTTAAATATCTTCTCTATATTGACATACATTTTAAATCAGTTACCAAGGCATGTTTTTATTTGAATTTAGTTTACAGCAATTGTTTTTGAACATTGTCGGAGTTTTGAAATAAAAAATAATTTAGTAAAACAAGCCTAATTTGAATTTGCAAACCTTCAATAAGTACAAATTCCTGTGACAATGGTAGAACTCAATAGTGAATTAGCGTTAAGTGGTAGTACAGACGACTAACAATCCAAAGAACATGAGTTAGAACTTAACTTCAACCATAGTTGAATTTTACTTAATTTGGATGACTAAACTGCATATAGCCATAATGCTCCTTAGGAGGCTTGTGGAGATATCAAGGCTAATGATCATAGCAGTCTATGCTTTTGTGTATTCAGATAAAATACCTCGATCTAGAGTCTCAACTCCAGTCATTTGCTAAGCAAAATTTCGAAAATGAGAGATTATTACACATTTCGACCAATTGGTATTCCTACACTCAGGATTTAACCCTCAAATATAAGTTTATGTGTCAATTGATAGAATATGCTATTTTGGAATCAGGATGCAGGAACCATTCTACAGCCTTGTAAATAAAATTTAGTGGAATACTTATGAGATTTTCACTACAGTTTACAAAACCACAACATGTGTCTCACTATGCAATAGCTTTCTCAAACGTACTCTAGTACGTAAACGCTTGAGACATCTAGAATTGTTAAATGAATTCTCAGGAGACTGATATCTTGTTCAACTTGGGTTTGAACACAGGACCCCTGGGCGGAGAGCCGGATACTTGACCACTTTCCCAATTCACTACTAAAATAATCTGTTGTTTTTCAATTATTCAGATGTAGACACACTGAGATGTTTCAGCAAGTACCTCGTAAATTTCTTAAAGCAGATGCTACATCTCAGTTTTTCTGTATCAAAGTGTGACCTAGAATGGCTTTGTAATTGTATCTCTGACAGAAAGTTTTTGCCACATTCATTACAATATAAATAAGTGTTTTCTTGCACATATTTTTCCACAATGTCTTCATTATCAGAATCTCTGAGATTATTAATGCTTTCAAAATCATCTTTCTCCTGGATATTGTCACCAAAATCATCCTGTTGATCATGGTCAAAGTGATCTGTGTCAAGTGGTTTTATTTTATTTTCCTGGCACAATTCTTTATTAGGTTCATTCACAGTATAACCCTTTTCCTTCAGGACTTTTTCACTGGAATCTTTGAAAAGTTTTTGTAGCTTCTCTTGTGTCTGGTAACATTTCTTTTGGAACAGATAAGATTCAGTTAATTTTTTTAAACAAACTTGACAAATACATTGTGGGTAGGATTCACTTTTTGTGACCTGAAAAAAAACACCATATGATTGTCCTGTAGGAAATATTTTGAAATATGGGTACATACTTCAATAGATGTAAATTTCATAAAAATGGAATACAACTTTTCTTCATTCGACTCTATGGAGACTGATTCAAATAGTGAAACAAAGTCATTTGTAGACTCCAAACAGGTTCTGCATATTACATTTTTATTGAGATATGTGTTTTCCATAATAATATATTATAGATAAGCTATCAAAAAATTATTAGAAAATTCATAACAAAACCACACATGATCAACATCAACAATATAAAAAAAATAATTAAATCATAATCCATAATGTATTGAACACAATAAACAAGCAAACTTGAAATACTTGAATGAAAATTATGTTTAAGCTTTATTCTGTACTACTGTACTCAAATATTGAATATTAAAGCTCTCAAGTTCACTTTTCGAGTTGTGTTTGTGTCGTTGTGTTTGTTTGTGTTCAAGAGTTCAAGTTCAGTGCAGTGTTGCCGATATGGTAGAGTTGGCAACATCCCAAGTCGTAGTTCCCAAGTTCGTTGACATTCGATGAGTTAAATACATCTCAAGTTAAATAGTCATACTTTCCAAAAAATTACCGTACACCGTTATGAAAACTGGTTGAAAACGTTATGAATTCAACATACTGCATGTGGCAGTGTTGAACTTTACTAAGCTTTGCGTGTTCATGCTATTGATCTTCATTCATTCTTTTCTACGTTTCAATGCCATATAGGTACACCCTGCACTATGGTGAACAATATCAGTGAGCAACCTAACATCTTCAGGTACCTCAGATGACACTGCAACTGTGGCAGAGATGGATTCAAATGGAGAAGAAGCAATAACACAAACACCCTTAGTATCGAAGTGTTGATTCTGATGTTATTTGACTAACAAAATGTTACTTTTCGACCAACCATGTTACTAAATTACTTTTTTCCTTATTCTGTTAGCTTTTGAATGCATTTTATTTCTTCAATTTCATAATTATAGAGGAAAATAAGTGTATTCACAGAGTTTCATTTCGAACATAGGTTCTGTCACAGTATCACAGAATACCTTACAGAAGAAGCGCTCATCTGGCGGCACTTTGATTTTGGTGGTGTTTGATGTCTCTTCCCGCGGTGATTTCAAATAATTTGAAACTTATCGTATATATAATTCAATTTAGATTGAGTAATTATCATTGTTAAGCCAATATTTTATTCAGGTCAGCTCCATTTTATCATGTTGACGTTTTTGATTGATAATAATCTAGTCTACAAAATTGTGGCCTATCAAAAAAGTTTATAGTTTGTATTATGTCTTTTTTTGTAAGGTCTGTAGTCAAAGAAAATATAATTTAGTTGTGTGAATTTTTTCTGATAATTTTTGTGATCCGATATGTCAAAAACATATTCGCTTTTCAACTATTTCAAGAATCAAAAAGTCAATGTTATATTCCGGTGATAGTCTAAAAAAGAAAGCGGCTCATATATCTTCCTCATTTTCTGCATTGCAATATTTGTTACCTTTTTCTATCAAATGTAATATTTTCTTACAGAAATGTGTTACCAATTATTTTTCTGATAGGAACAGGTCATTTCTGATATCCTGAATCATAATCAGGAGGGCCATATTATTTATATTCGCATGGGTGGTAGTGGTATGACTTCGTTACTGTACACCTGACACCGCTGCTTTCTGATATTTATAAATATACAACATAGAAATCATATACGTTACATTGCCTGCTGGTGTAGTTCTGAACTAAAGAAACAGGTGAATTTGTAATTTTTTTTTAAATTCTTGTAAAAGGACTATACTTATATAGCGTAGTGTGAAAAAAAAGTTGCAACAGCTTACAGTCCTTGTTATTATTATATATAACATACTCTGTATATTTTGTAATATCTATATTGAAATGTCCAAAAATGGATCGTTAGATATAAAAAATCAATGAAAAAGAAAATTATCCAAGTATTTGAATCGTAACTAATAGGATGCTGAAGGTATGCACAACAATTTATTTTCAGAGTGAGATTTTTTTCTATATAGTGAATAAACCATTTTGTAATATGTTGTATGATTGGGATTTTTGTGATAATTACTTTTTATGCTCCAATAGTTTATGATTCATTGATTGGAATATAAATGTGACTGACATAAGACAAATTGTGAGTTAAAAACAAACTGAACAGTAAACAAACTTTAAGAAAAGGTTTTCCAGATGCTATGTTTAGAGGTAGGCTCTCAGTCATAGTAATGAATCACATTTGATAGGACAGGGGCTGGTACTTGAATTAGCGATGTATTCGGCGAACAAGCTGAAATATTTCGCATATTACACACCTACATAACACCTCTACCCATATAACATACATAGAAGACAGGCCCCATAGGCTTGTTTGAGAAAAATATGTTGCCTACCTATATTAATTCGCAGGCACACACAACAACCTGCCACAGGGAAGTTCTGAACTTAAAAAACCACAAGCAAATAATTATCAGCTCAATGACTTAGATGTTGTTTATTAATTAACACATCGTGGTTCGGTGGTCTATCTAAGAATTTCTTCTCAAAACTATGTGAGTCGACGAATTTTAACACAAAAAATATATCTCGCTACTGGAGTGCTACCGGCCTACGGCCACGAATAAAAAACATTAAGAGAGTTGTGATACCGGATTTTCTCCCTTACTCCGTTAATAGAGTTTTAGATAAGTGACATGGTAAACTGCCCATTCAGAATAGTCACAAAGATTTTTCAGTACATAAGTATTCTCACGAATACTTTTTTGGATTCCGTATGGTCCTTCTAATAATAATAATAAGAGTTTCTTCGTTTCTGCATGAACCACCGACGAACCGCTTTCAAAAGCACCAAATCATCTACTTCAAACCTTATGAAAGGCTTACTGAGGTCTACATCCCGACGTAGAGCTTGTTAATGTTAACCGAAGAAATCCGTCAAATAAAGTAAAGTCCCATCTACTGTGCTTTATTACTTTGACCGAGACCCTACCAAGAAACACAGCATCTCGAGATACCGGTACGTAATACAAGTGAAATCGTTATATTCACACGAATAACAAGGGAGGGGAAAACTTATAAAACATGATACTACATTTTTGTGTTATACTCTATATGTGTATCTGAAAGCTAGTGGTCTTTACATAAGATTGCTATCTACAGACGCTTCTGAATTAAACCACTCTACCTGTAGTTCTACTGTACCTTAAACATATGAACTACTAACCTTGTTTTAGATGGAGGAAAGTCGTGTTATATGTCAATGGTGAATTTTAGTACCTAGTTGTAAAGTGACTTTGTTTACAATTATTTAAGTACTTGGTAAAAAATATAACTAAGTTGTGTAGCAGGTATCAATGTCTGGAAATAAGACAAGTTTGTACTAATTCCTTACGAAATTCATGTATTAGAAGTAGCATTTTTCAGCTTCTGCAGACCTGTTTTGTGAATTTTTCGAAGTTCTAGTTCATAACATTATTTTTACAAGAAAACTTTATCCTGAAACGGTATTTGCCAAGAAAAGAAAGTACGGAATTCCAATACATCAGTGCATTCATCCAGACGTAAATGACTACATCAGTCAGTGTCTAAAAGCTATAATATTTCACTCTAGAAAAAATCAGTTGACAAAATTATTCCTGTGCTTTCACGATAAGGATCATATACGCGATCGTTATGTTTTTGATGTGCTGAAATTGAAAAATTCTACAGAAAGGTATGTGTTGTATAAAATCACACTTCTGAAGACAAATCATGAGACTTGCCAAAACCATAAAACAAATATGAATAAAGATACACTGTTATTATATACTTCAACACTCCATTACTGGGTATTTATTCTGAGGCAGTCTACCTTTTGTATTGTATCTCTAGATATTTGGTGCAATTTTTGAAATATGAGTCATAGAAAATCAAGAAAGCTTATGTGAATAATGAAAGAAAATCAATGATTCTGATATATTCAATAAATGTTTGAAACAAAAATTACATTACCTAAGCTCTATTCTTAGAACAGTATACAGTGTGTAACAAAGAAAACTTAACAGAGCCCTTTTTGAATATAAAAAGTAAGATTTTTAAAAAAAGCTCGGACACGTCGTGTTCTAATTAAAGGGGGACACCTTTCAGACTAATCAGATTTTTTGTAGGACACACATACACGTCCGACGACCCTTATTTAGATAGGGAAAGTAGGTCGAGTGGCACCTTGTTTTAAAGGTCTTTTGAATACCTTTACATCTCTGTTAAAAAAAAATGTTTGTAACGATTAGTTTTCGAGATGATTTGAAGATTTAAAAGTATTTTTATTGAGTTCAACTCTTTTTGAAATAAATCAAATTGTTGTTAAGGTACAATTTACGTTCAGAACTTTCAAAAAAAAAATAAATTTTTGCTTTTTATGACAACCTGCTAATACGTGTCCATTTGATTTCGTAAAAAAGTAAGAATTATTTGTTTATTACGAGGAGATTTTTTTGGAGGATGGGGTTGGTTACCACCCTTATATTTGAGGTAAATTGAGTGGCACCTCCTTATGAAGGTTGCCTTTTGACGTGGATATTTTATGCTTCTGATAAAAAAGTGAATCATACTAAAAAATTACCTACACAACGAATACAACCTGCTGATTTCATTGAATGCTGATGACACAGAAAAGTTTAAAAAACTGTTTTAGGGTTAATACATCCCAATAATTGTTTTTAAAGCACACACAAAAAAAATAACACCTAATAAGGGTAACTCACATAGGAAATTTAGAGTAAATGTTCAAAATGTGCGCTATTTTGCTCCATGCAACAATAAAGATTTTGTTCGAATTTTACTCTTACATTATTCAACATCTCATCATCATCATCCAAATTGGCTGGCTGTGTAGCATATACTTTAGACTTTAAATATCCCCACAAAAAGTAGTCCAGTGGTGTTAAATCTGGTGATCGTCCTGGTCATTCAATTGGACCTCTTTTGCCAATCCATTGTCCTTCAAAATGATTATTCAAAAAATTTCGAACCTGGTGGGCATAATTGGGTGGTGCACCCAATTGTTGAAAATGGATAAATTCATCTTGACATCTTGGATTATTTCAACTATACGAGGTTGTATTGCCTCTTCAAGAAGTTGTAAATAAGAATCACCGGTTAAATTTCCATCAATGAAAAATGGACCTATAATATGATTGCCTAATATCCCGGCCCAGATATTCTACTTTTGGGGATGTTGGGTATGTATTTCTGCGTATTGTCTTGGGTTTTCATCCGACCAATAACGGCAATTGTGACGGTTCACGCAACCATTTAAATATAATGAGCTTTCGTCCGAATAACAGATGTTATAAAGCAGCTCGGGATTTTGCAATAATCTCTCACTCATTCCCTCACAAAACTCCTGTCTTCGGTCAAAATCATCCTCATTGAATTCATGAACAAGTTTAATTTTGTAAGGATGGAATTTGTGGTTTTTAAGGATTCTCCATGCGCTCATATGGCGTATTCCGGCCATTGCTGATAAACCTCTGGTACTTAACCTGGGATTGGCGATGACTTGATCAATCACTCCAATCGCATTTTGCAATAATCTCTCACTCATTCCCTCACAAAACTCCTGTCTTCGGTCAAAATCATCCTCATTGAATTCATGAACAAGTTTAATTTTGTAAGGATGGAATTTGTGGTTTTTAAGGATTCTCCATGCGCTCATATGGCGTATTCCGGCCATTGCTGATAAACCTCTGGTACTTAACCTGGGATTGGCGATGACTTGATCAATCACTCCAATCGCATTATCGTCATTCACTACCCTTCTCTGAACATTTTTTTTCTTATTTAAAACCGAACCTGTCTCTCTGAATTTTGTGACCAAATCCAGAACGTGATTTCTGCTTGGGTGTTTACCAGGGTTTTGCTCGTTAAATAAAATTGATGTTCTATTAGCATTTTGGTCGTTGCCAAAAAATAAAGCAAAAACTGAAACCCTTTCAGCAGTAGTATAAGGCATTTTTAAACAAATAACAATACACGACCCGTTTAAACAAAACAATCGAACGATGTACTAATGAAAACTGGAAGAAAAGGAGTGGGTATTGATTTTAAAATAGGGATTTTATTTAACAAAAAACTGATAAGAAGAACTGCTCGAATTTTTTTTTATTTAGGCATACAAGTTACCGAGTGGTCTATCTGATGTATTATTAACATGGCAATTTTAACTTCAAATTATCTCAAAAACTAATCGCTACAAAAATTTTCTTTTAACAGAGTTGTAAAGGTATTCGAAAGACCTTTAAAACAAGGTGCCACTCGATCTACTTTCCCTATCTAAATAAGGGTCGTCGGACGCACCCCTCCGAGGGGGTGCGTTCTATAAAAAATCTAATTAGTCTGAAAGGTGTCCCCCTTTAATTAGAAATCGACGTGTCCGAGCCTTTTTTAAAATCTTACTTTTTATATTCAAAAACGGCTCTGTTGAGTTTTCGTTGTTACACACTGTATATAAAATCATTTGACATCACCTCCAGCTCTAATTGAAATTTCACTTATTTACTGTCTTATTTATATTTTCAGCATTCTTCTAGATAATAGATCTAGAATGCTTGCAAGGTTTTCCAAAACCTTTTTTTTTTTCAGAAGTGCCACCAATTTCACCACCTTAATAAATTTCCAGTGCTTTCTTTTTCTAAATGGGAGGTATTTGAGAATGTATTCCTACAATGTTAGGCATAGAAAAAATTGTAATATTTATAGTAAAGCTATATGCGGCACACATTTTGTAAACTATGTCCACTTCAATCATAAGTCGAGTTGTTTCCATAAAAAGTAAATTGACCTGTGTGCCTCAAAAAGTATCAAAATTTAGACCTGAAAGACAAGAACATTCTAATACAAAACAAAAATAAACCTTTATGTTAGAAAATATACTTCATAGCAAATTCTTACATTATTAGTCGCTTCTTATCTTTCAAATACAAGTACCCATAATTAGGCTCTCCTTCGCAATTCAAAATTTGAAACACTAATAATGTAACTACTCAGTCAAGAATATAGTCAAAGCCCAGCATTCTCTAGTATTTTAAAAATTATTTAACCATATATTTATCTCTTAGAAGCAGGGCAATCATTGAAGCAAAAAGTTAGGCCATTTATACATTTCCAAAAATTGCATACTCATATCATTTTATAAAAAAATCTATATCCACTATATTTGCATTGCTGACTGTATTATGGTCGTAGTATCGATAGTTCTAAAACAGATTTCGGAAAACCCTTCCAATTATTATTTTGAGAATAATTTGTTTTTCAGTGATCCTCTGTTAGTTGAACTGGAACAGTCAATGCGAGATTTCATTCTAAAGCTTCATTCAGCCCAAGAATATTTGGAAGACTTATCAGATGATTCATCCTTCAGCATAAGTATTCAGACAACTGCTTATTCAAGTGTTGAATTCAATCAGGAACCAATTTATGAGGTATACAATTCTTCACATAATGATTTTTCAAATACAATTAGGGACTTTTCGAAATTTTTTGTTTTGTGTTTTTCTTTGAATCAATGATGAAGAGTTTAATCAAAATTTGATTTGATATATGATGATAATCACTTTAATTGGATTCTTTGCTACTTGCAAATTATTCAAATGAATTATTGCATTGTTAACTTATTACTCTAACAAGCATTAATTTACATAGGTAGGAAAATTGAAACTCATGTTATAAAAATTGTAACTGCTTCATGGAAATTATTATTACTAAGTTTTATTGCTGAATTCTAATAAATTTATACTGAACAATTTTTGGCCTACAAATCCATGCTGTTCAGTTACTAGATACATATTTGTTCACAAATGTTTCTTGAAAATTATAGGGAGTAACTTTTTTCTAGTAAGTATATTACCTCACTTATTTTGAATATCTATTTCGTCATTAGATTTGTATCTGCTGCTGTAATGAAAGTTTTTCACATGTATATTTGGCCCAATATTTGACTTAACAGTGGTATTTAGACAAAAGTATATTTATTTATTTCATTTAAGTGATCATGAATTAGCATAAAGTCATCAATCACACATATTAACAGTAGAATAAAATAGAGGTTCATGCATCTTTGTTGAGCACAAAATAATTCATTTCCGTTAAAATTAACACTGGAATTGAGAAATGGCGTGAAATTTATTCAGTTCGGTACAAATAAAAACCAACTAATACAGTTTATTGTGAGATTTTCATAGTTAGTTTTGATATAGATTTTCTTCAAATATCGGCCAACTCCATTCAAATTGGATAGGTACTAATTTCGAATTTCTCTATTCAGTTAGTGTGTGACATTCATCTGTATAAAATTACTCGTTTCCAAAACTAAGTATAGTACTAAGAACTGACTTTTGAATTCAACTTAATTCTGTTTATTTGAAGGATTTTCCGTGGATTGAAGTAAAAGAAAAAGAGATATCAGTTAGAGGAGCCGACATTGTTCCATTATATACTTTAGAAACAGATTGCCTTGAATTGCAAATGTATATTGAGAGAGAAGGTTAGTACTTTAGCATATCAATTGTCTTTGAAAGGAGGTATCTTATTTTTATTATTTCCCATATAACTTATTAAGATTTTCATTATGGTAAAAAATAATTAATACCTCTATGTAGACAGTATTTGTCTTAGGGATCAAACTAGGTGATCTCAGTTGAGTTCTGTTTCATCAGAGACTTATTTTCTGGTTAGGTTAGCAGAAATGCAATGATATTATTTTTTTCTTAAAAATTGATGAAATCATGACACTAAAATATAATATTCATTTTTAGACAGTTAATTTTTGAAAACCATGGAGGACAACGAACGAGGTGTGAAGAGGAAAAGTAGACTGGCTGTTTTCGAACATGTGGAAATGGAAAAGGCCTCCAAAAAGGCCCAGTTTGAAGCAAACCCTTTAGAATATGAAGAGTATTCTGCATCCGAATCTGAATTGATTATTGACGAGGAAAATACTGTAAGAACATTTTTCATTCAACATACTCAGTTAAGCTTGAACTTTCCTTTAGAGGGGCCCACTCACTTTTGACCTAACCTTTCTCAATTTCAAAATATTCCATATAAAAGGTTGTCTTTTGATATCGAGGGTGTAATATTTTCGAGTTAGTGAATCAAAGAGATTGAACTATTAAAATATGTGGTTTAAACACGTATAATTGCTGAAGGAATTATAAATTTTGGATGAAAACTCGCTAGATAGCTTTGGTCTACTGAAATCAACACTACTTCATTTGACCTCATTGATAGATATAAAAAAATCCTCCTTGCTGTGAGTTCTTTTAGAAAGTTAGACAGTTTGAAATACTTGAAACAATTGTAATAGATACTACTGAAGTAGAGAAAACATTAAAAATTGTTAAAAACGCTACTGATAAACTTATAAATAATGGTGAAATGAAAATAAACTGAGTTCATTGAATTTGTCTAAATTCCAATAAGCAGTATCTGTTAACAAATCTGTTCTGAATTATCAGTAATTACTATTCAAGCTCAGTTTAGCCATTTACAATATGTAATTGCTGTACTAGATGATTAGTTTATAGAATTTCTAAATGTTTTATTTATATTAGACTCATGATGAAAAAACTTTTGAGGGTTCTCCTGAATACCTTGAAATTATTCAATTTGTTTTCCGCAGAGATGTTTAATACTATCTATGAATTTACTTTTGAAAATTACAGATATATACCTAACACTTTCAGTATTGGAAAGTTTTCATTCCTATAGTACGTGGGCATACTTGAAGACTGACTTTATCAAATTATCTAAATAAACAATTCGTTCAGTCCAGTCTCAACTCACCTATACAGTAGGTTTATGAACTGACACCTATCAGAAAACAACTACTCCCCTGGCTAATACCATGAAGGGCGTTGGATTATATCCGACAGGTATCAGTGCAGGATTCTTCACTAAAGTTATTCCTGCATATACTGTTGGCAATACAACTGTCGCTATTGATTTTCAATTATCGGAACACACTTGCAGACCGGTTGCAGGCTGTTTGGCCACTCGTCAGTGCAAGGTATCATCAACATAAAGTGGATGATTTCCTATAATTCCTTCACAGTATCATTCCTCGAACTAGGTCGAAGCGAACATTCAACAACATGTTTGTTATCGCCTCATCTGCCTTTCGATGTACTAACTATGTACTAATTGTGTAGGTGAGTGTTTCTTAAAATATGTTTTTCCGTTAACCAGCTGTCGCACCCCTACGAACGACAACCTTCAGTAGTCGAAACTTGTGCAAGCTGAGGACTAATGAGGTCTCACTTTTTAACGTATGATTACTAACATAGGTTGGACGATAACAAGTGATAATCGATCGTTCAGCCTGCGGCTTGAACCACCGACTCACACATCATTCGATTGAGACAGTGAACAAAGCACCCACTTCGAACCGCCCGGCTACCGACCTACTGAGAGAGGGGATTCGAAATTTTGATATTAATTTTCATCTTAAGTTATTTGAGATGATTCAACAGTTTGATTAATGACTTCTTTAGTCTAGTGAATACAATCACTTTCGAATAATTCATTTCGGGTTTTTGATTAGATTATAAAAGCATCACGTGCATGTGAAGTTCTAGGGTCCTCTTTTTCGAATATCTATTCGATTTTCAAAAGTAATCCAGAACCGAGTATTCTATTCTGCCCATCACTACCTGAAATGCCTAAAAGTTTCTTCATTATTATGAACCAAACAAGGGGTTATTAAAATAAAAATTGAATGAGTCACTGGATTCCAGTACCTTTGACGAGTATTAAACACAAGTTGTTTAAACTAATTTTCCATAGGACTCCTGTTTTTTTTCTATAACAATGACTGTTTATGCCATATTATAAATGGGACTCAAGAGTGCATGATAGTAAAATAACAGTTAGAAGAACATATTTTTTTCTATAGTGCCCCATGTTTGTTGAATTTAAGACTGTTCATAGAATTTTGATTCTGTTACGATTTTTATATCTATGTTACTCAAACAAAATGAAAAGAGAGACAAAGCGAAAAGCCAGTATGTTAGTCTTGTCAACCTTAAGCACAAATACACCAAAATGTTTTTTTCTCAGTTTATTTCTTACAGTACTTTATATTTGTTTACAAAAGACAAATTATTCAACATTTTAATTAAATTCAAACCTCAAATACAAAAATAGATTCATTTTTCCCCATTTTCCGAGCTAGTAATATGTTTTGGATTATTGCACTGGCCACAAATACAATTCCTATGTAAGTCCTTAGCACTCCTCTCAGTCATCATTGAAAAATTTTTCCAATTCTTTTTCGTCAAAATCTAATTGGATATCCTCCAAAAGGAGTGCATTTTGGTTTTCAGAGTGTTCCTTTTCGGGTAGAGTCCCTAAACTTTTATACAATTCCAAGTCGGTCTTGAATGCATCTTGGAACGCACGTTGCCTTTCTTCTAGCAATACCTTTCTACTGGCTTCATATTCTTCAATTTTTTTCAAATGTTCTTCTCTCCAAGCTACTTTCAAGGACTCCAAAGACAGTTTTTTCTTTACCTGGTACCTTTGTAGGTCTTCCTTTTCGTGACGTTGCTTTCTCGTTAAATCGATTTCATCTATTAAATCTTCAAGACCTATCAAATTCATTTCTATACTTTCAGCAGTCTTATATAAATCTTTTATCGTACTTAAACAATCATTTATATTGATGGCTAGATTTGACTTTGTAATTAAATGGTCTATAAGATCCAGGTTAGTTATACTAATTCGAAGTTCATTAGAAATGCATATGATTTCTTTTGCTACCTGTTCTGCCTTCTCAGCATTTTCTTCGTTTATTTTGTGTAGCTCTTCCCATTGGTTTTGAAATTGTTGTAAAATTTCAGCACCTGCATTAAAGTTAATCACTTTTTTTTCCAATTGTTTTTCTTCACCACTATTGAAGAGTGATACGCTCAGTATCTTTTCTTTCAAATTGGATAGCATTTTGAGCTCATATTTTTAAAATGAAAAAAAAAAACAAGTCATGAAAAAATCTGAACAAAAATAAAACCCAATAATCAAATATAAACAACAGCTGACTTTTACAACATAACAATCAGTGTTGCCAACTGGATGAACTATAAAGTCACTATACATGAACCATAGTATTTTGTATACAGTAATTTCATAAAGGCTGATTTGTGGTTTGAAGTTTCCTACGCGCAGACCCACGCGTCGATGTCTTAGGTCTGCGCAAACGACGAGTTTAAGACAGGCATGCAATCAAAGCGTTTAAACACTGCTCAACATAACAAATATTCATATAAACTGCTCAAAAAAATACAGTCGATGAAAACCATGTTGGGCACCTAAGAAAATTGTACAAATGATAATTTTGCATTTGTGTAATATTCAAGTAACCCAGATCATTTCGACAATGATGAACTATGTTTCAAGTAGATTTTAAAAATTCATGGGATCGGATGTGACAAAATATACTTTAATTTCAACAAGAAAAAAGACAACATGAAGAACGAGTTTTGTTATTCATGAACCATGGTACTGTGCAAGAGCTCTCTAGGAGGAATAACGAGTCCCTGTGTGTATACAACCGTGATAGCATGGTCTGCACTGATGAGGAACACTTCAAAACGGTTCGCAGTTGGTTCCTTGTTCGAATCAGGCGAAGTCCCACTATTTGTCCTAGAGAGCTCTTAAAAAGTTGTTTCTTCAAAGTGAGAATCTTTGCAATTATGTCTGAGGCGACTTGGATTCCGAAAGGTTAACAGTCGTAAGGTATTTTTGATAGTCAAATTTACATTATATAAGAAGTTGCTGACTAATAGGACATGTTTCATTTAGAATAACTGTTTTTAATCTACGCAGCAACTTTTCGGGGTTGATTAGACATCTAGACTTGTATAGATTCAAATATCAACATTTGTCAATATATGTCGAGTTATTAGCTAAAGAAGTAGTTGTTTTCTGTCGGAAAACATATATAATGGTATAGTCAAAATGCATTTGGACTTGTCAGTGATTTTATCATCAATTTTTACTTGGATAAAAGCTGGAAACAGCAAATTATCTTACAGTGTAAATAATTCATAACTTCCGACTCCGAAAACTCTCACATACATTTATAGTTAGTACATACACACAAAAAAATTATTTTTGTATGATTGAACACTACATACTTAATTACTTTTTTACTTCTTCAAGTCCTGAATAGTAACTACATAATTCAGAAAGAATAGGCTCTACAGATTCCTTAATCTTGAGTGATGAATTCGATTAGGAATATTTTTAATAATTGGTCCTTAATATAATCGAATCGGCAAACTCGTCCGCCATCTTGAATTCTCCAATCAATAAATGAATATGCTATATTTGGCCCCAAAAATCACTACAAAGAAATTTCGCATGGATTCGTACCATGGTTCATGAATAACAAAACACGTTCTTTATCTTGTCTTTTTTCTTGTTGAAATGAAAATATATTTTGTCACATTCGAATATGAACATCTGCCGATTCCATGAATTTTTAAAATCTACTTGAAACTTAGTTCATCATTGCCCAAATGATCTGGGTTACTTCAATATTACACAAATGCAAAATTATCATTTGTACAATTTTCTCAGGTGCCCAACATGGTTTTCATAGACTGTTTTTTTTTTGAGCAGTTTATATGAATAGTTGTTATGTTGAGCAGTGTATACACGCTTTGGTTGAGATTGTAGTAGGGAGAAATGTCATTAGTGTCAAATACGTCATCATTATAAAAAATGAAACTCCTGGACACCGACATCAAAGGGACCGACGCTGAGTGAAACTACTGTATACAGAAATACTGTGCATGAACTAAAATTCCGCTACACTCAGTGTTGCCACAAGATATTTTTTCATCGAGGTAGATTTTTGGAAGGGAGCGGGTAGAACCGGGGTGGATCCACTTTCACATGATGACATCAATCACAGTGGCGCATTGACGTATACCTATGATTGTCATTCTTTGTTCTATGATGAATTTGACGATCTTAATAAAAAACATGTCAAATGTCATTGCATCCAAATTTGGGATCGATGTGTTTCCAAACCATTCCTCGAAAATATTAGTTTCCATGTTCTTATGATAGTCAACATTGCAGTCCTCATTTTTTCCATATCCTTTACTTCCTCCGCAATGCACAATGATTAGTCGCGATCCTTTGTTTGCAGGCTTGTTTGGCGTACACATTCTCGAACCATCAGTCCACCCTTTCGTAACTGTGTCGTTAGTGTCATAACAAGTTTCGTCCAAATAGATAATTTGTCGTTGTTCTTGTTTATATTTAGTTATTCGTTCTAAGTATTTGTTACGCAATTCTACTATTCTTCTGCTTTCCATAACTGCTTGACATTTGTTAATTATTTTAAATCTAAATCCTAGTTTCTTTATCCAATTCTGAAGAGTTTTGTCACAGCATCTCACGTTATGGCCGGAAGTATTCAATGTATTCCTTATGATTTCAATGTAGGAATCTCATTGATTTTGTAACAGTTGTATATTGTTTTTTCAATGATTTCATCAGATGAAGATCTAAAGGTTTTGGTAATCCTGTATCACATCGCGTCTTGCCTCCATAAGGTTTGTTTTTGACTATTCCACGTACAGTTGAGAAAGGAATTTCGGTCAAACCTGATGTTGCTTGTAATAGTTTGTTTCCCTCGAAACCAAACTTGAGATGTAGGTTCTTATATACATTGAAACATACTCTCTGTGTTTCAATATTCAAATGCATCCGAATCTTATTTCCTGGTATCTCTTTTTCGCATTGTTCACCATCGCTATTGGAATCACTACACTGGAAAAAGTCTGCGTTGTTATCCCACACCACACGCCACATTTTAAATAGATAACAAGAATTTCAAGTAAATATCGAATTTCAACACTCAAATCGCGATCAGTTCCTGAACTGAACACGACGGCGATAACCAAAGGCCGCATTCCATGATTTTTATTCGTCACCGTATTATGACTTCAAATTAAATTTTATGACTCTTCTACCAATCACAACTCGGTTAGTAAAATTTATCCAATACGAAACGCCAAGTGTACAGTCACACATAGAAATGCTGCCGGTTCATTTCTATGTGTTGGTTTTTATGACCTTTGAGGGTGCCGACAACTTTAATAGTGTACAATATCGGTTACTTCGACTATACATATAACTACATTTACATCACAGACTGAGATTCCACATAATAGAAACATTTCCACATTTACGTTCTCAACTTTAACTAATAATGTCGAATGTCATGTCACAAACATCAAATAACATTTCACACGCACAGAGCATGATCACGGCGCTCGGTATCATTGGAAGAGCAGAAGAGCATTGTAGTGTAACTCAGTACTCAGTCACAGAATATCGGAACTATCGGTGTAAGACATCGACATAACCTTAATGGTGGTGTAAGAGTCTTACAGTAAGACACAACCCAAGGAACCGTCGCCAGCGGCGCCAGACAATCAGTCTACGTCAACGTTGGTACTCGGCTCGTGTAACGCGGTAGATTCAAAATCAAACCTAAATATTTGTTCATTTTTTCAATTTTCATTTTACATTTTTTTTGCTTTATATCTGAGCGGGGTAGATTTACTTGAGGGGAGCGAGAGGATGAAATTGAGTTCAAGAGGGGTAGAACTACCCCGTACGGGGTAGCTGTGGCAACAGTGGCTACACTGCTCCATATACCGCTATATATCTAACGCAATCAGTTCGCGCATGCGGCTTATACAAAATTAAATACCACAGAACTTACAGTTTGTAGTTTGTGTGCCGTTCAGATACCACAAAACTGAACTGTCACTAATGTCAGGAATCAGGATCATGTTAATTTTCATCCGCGCAACTTGGTAATTTTCTAAATTTACAGCAGTCAATTTTTGAAAGCTGTCGCCTCTATCAAATATTTCTTAGCTTGAAATAATGATTTTGAAAAGTAAAAATAAATATCAATTTTTTCACGTAGGTGAAGTCACACTGAGCTCTTGAACGATCATTCGCGACAGGTTTAATTCATTCTCTCAAGTTGGAATCAGACAACCAATGTTGAGAAAAAGTTGGTTTTCGGGAATTTTTGTATTTTTTTGAACATGTCCCATTCCCGTAAATTTCAACTGCGGTAGGTCTTTTGCCCGAGCTACAATCAGATGAACTATCTTCCATTTCCACTGTAATTTGTTCCATATAATTCATAATCTTCTAAACAGTCGAGACTTTTGGTTTCAAGATATTGGAGGTTATATATTCTTCTTCTCTTTCATCATGTAATGGCCTCAGCTGCTAAGACCATATCGTATTGACTGTGCATTCAATTATTCAAATGTCAGCTTCGAGTGCTGTTTCCTGTCTCTTCTTCTTCCATATATTTTTCGAAATTGATTATTCGTATCTAGAAAATTCCGCTACGGTTGGCAACTCTGATAATGTACTGTCAACAGTGTTGCCTGATTTTACCTTCGGTTATTCCTCTTGATCATGATACTTTTTTTTGTCACAGAATACCTTACAGAAGGGACACTCAGCATGGAACATGAACCATGAACTTTGTGAGAATTTCGAAGTGATTACTGTCAACCTAAAGATTTAATGGTTGTGAGCTATAACATGTTAAAATTAAGCTAGTTTGGTTAAAATTGTTGAAATGTTGACCTAACAACCTGTCGAGATGACATCATTATGTTTGCTTGACTTCAATCAAATTATGTATCTGATGAGTTATAAATAATTTGAATTAACCCGCTAAAAAGTGACAATAAACACCTCAAACACAGAATTTAGGTCACTGAAACTTGAAGTGTTTCCTGGCATTTAATCGTATTCGAGCGTGTATTCAAAAACGATTCGTAGTGGCGTCATTAATAATAAGATTCGCCAGAATGGAATGATTCAGTTTGTATCGGATGTCAAATTCAATAATAAAAACAAACTTTTCAATTTTCTTTAACCCTAATTAGAATCAGATTTGTGCATACAATAATTTCTCAGCTTTATTTTGTACATCCTTACAAAGTATTTGATAAAAAGTTTTCAGCACTTTATAAACCATAACGATCAAAATAAAGCAGAAACTGACGTA